TATAGATTCTACGTTGATTTCCTCTTCTAATCTACTCATATTTTCTTAGTACACCAGCCACTACCCTACACCTCCTTGCCTTTATATTTTTCTCTCCATACCAAGGTTGCCTGTAAGAGATTGCCTCTGAGCAATAAGGCCGCCATTTGTACCTGTCTAACCTAGCTTAAGTTAATCTTTATATATTTATACCTGGTGTACAATAAAGAGATGTATTATTATTATTATTATTAAACCTGGCTCCTCCGTCCCCACGGAACCCGAGATTTTCCACCCCGTCAACAAAAAAAAAAGGAAGCAGCGTGGCGACCGCTTAAACCACTACGGCATTCATGCAGTCATGTCATTTACAGCAAGCAAAGACATCTGGTAAATAAATAAGTAATAATAATTGAAAATAAAATAAAAAGCCTACTGCAAAAAGACAATTTAAAGGTAATTTACTAATAAGTAATCATAGGTTTTGGAAACTGAATTTCGGGCAAAGCTCGGCAAAACTGAGATTCGATTCCTGAACTATTTGTAATATATCTACAAATGTGTAGAGACTCTGTGGGCGATCCTAGACACGGAACCTAGCACCGATCGCGGTTTATTTGCTGTTTTTTGAAGAGTTCCGTTGTCTGTCTCCAAAACTTTCAACCATTTTGGAATAATCCCCTTCGAAACAAAAAGAATTTTGCAAATTCATCTATAAATGACGGAGTTATACCCGAACATACATAATAAACATAACCTTTTTGAAGTCGGTTAAAACGACTGAAAACGCACTAGGTCCGACACAAACATGGCCCATTTTTACGCTATCAAAGTTTTATAAACCCAATTTATTATTCCTTCATCAACAACAGCTTTTAATAGTCCACTGCTGGATATAGACCTCTCCTCAGAAAAGAGGTTTTCTTAATAAATTTATGTAATTTTATAACATATTTATTTGTAATCCCCTTTCAATTTTCTCGATTTTGACATCCTACTCGATAGTTTTGGTTAATACCACGACTGCCTCGGTGGTGCAGTGGTAGCGTATTCGTGTGCTGAGGTCTCGTGTTCGATTCCCGGGTCTAATCTATACTAATATTATAAAGCTGAAGAGTTTGTTTGTTTGTTTGTTTGAACGCGCTAATCTCAGGAACTACTGGTCCGATTTGAAAAAATCTTTCAGTGTTAGATAGCCCATTTATCGAGGAAGGCTATAGGCTATATATCATCACGCTAAGACCAATAGGAGCGGAGCACCAATGAAGAATGTTTCAAAAACGGAGAAAATTTATTACTATTGAGAGACGCAGACGAAGTTGCGCGGGTCAGCTAGTCAAATAATAATAATAATAAAAATTGTTTATTACCATATAAGAAGTACAACGTGACAACAGTGTCCTGTGGCCCCACACTACGCAAGCCTTTCCTGTGGGTACCCGATTCAATTTACACATTTAATTGTATATTGATAGCTAGGACAACATGTTATAAGAGGTTAAACGTTTAGACTAAACTAACATAAAAACAATTTTATTACCACATGCTAAGTTAATTTTTGTTTGGTAAAGGATATTTATACAAAGCAAAAGTGAGTTATGATAAGTAAGTATATATGTTTTTTCTATATTGACTGCACGGATGGCGTAATGGTTTAAGCAGTCGCCACGCCGCTTAAACCATGTACGCTAAGTGCTGTGGGTCCAATCCCCACATGGGACGATATAGACGATATATAGATTGTATATCAGACAAAGTGTTGTCTGATATACAAATTGTTGTCCTGAGTCTGGGTGTTCTTTGTGTCCGTTTCATGTATGTTTGTAAAGTCTCCCGCGACACACAGGATATACTCATTCCTAATGCGGGAGTTGTCTTTATAAAAAAATTAGAATGAAATATATGTTCATTTTATGATATGATGATGTGGATTAATGTATATAATTCATATTAATATATAAAGTAAATAGGATAGGTGTATATATTATATATGTTTAAAAATAAGGGTAACAAAATACACGCTGTTGAGTCATAGGACAAAGAGGTGAGCTACCTAAGTAGGTATTTTTATTTTTGCCTCTCTCACAGAACATTGTTTGATATCACATGCAGCTGCCTTACTGTATATTTAGTTATCTTTAAACGGGGTAAAACGTCTGGAAAAGCTGGTTTTTAATGTTTGTATGATTTGTAAATATTTGTTTCGGAGATATCGTGTTTGCTATGTATAATTTGTATGTATTTACGAAAGAAAAATGATTCTATCAGTCAATCTAATTTTCATCGTAAAAGTACAGCTTAATTTGAAACTAGAGAACTTTAATATCTGTATAATAAAGTTTTAAACTGCTTATTAGTGCATTTTTATACTATTGTGTGGTTTATGTGTTGCTTGGGGTGCTTCTATAGGTATAGTGGTGTAGCGTAATCAGATGGGTATAATGTGTGACGGGCCTGTTGGTCTAGTGGTAAGTGACCCTGACTGCTAAACCGGAGGTCGTGGGTTCGATTCCCACCCAGGACAAATATTGTGTGATGAGCACGGTCAGTTGTTCTGTGTCTGGGTGTAATCTATCTATAATATGTATGTATTTAAAAATATATAACTATGTTTATCAGCAGTCTGGTTACCATAGTACAGGCTCTGCCTAGTTTGGGATCAGACGGCCGTGTGTGAGATGTTTGAGGTATATTATATCATTAATGTCATAAATAATTATTCCGTTCATATATCAACAAGATCGAACCTTAGATACACAATCATTAATGATTATTCGTAAGTATATTTCGTAATGCTTTATCTACGCAACCGACTTCCCCCCACATTGTTGTTTTGTAGATAAAACATACTATGTCAAAATTTTTAATATTTTCAAATTAATTGAGCCTATTTCCTATATTAATCTATGCTTTTCAATCCTTTTTACCGAGTGAGCCCTTACTCGGTAAAAAGTATCGAAAAGCTTACTAGGGCCCCATTTTTTACTACCTACTCCTCGGCAACTAATTCTGCAGTGCTATTCTCTAAGGAAACAGGCTTGCATACAGCGCTGCCACAGCGTCAAACTTCAAACTAACTTAGTTTGAAATTCGACGCTGTGACAGCCCTGTAGCATCGAATTTTGTAGCATGCCGCGGGACGCTGCAGCATGTCGTATCATGCCGTTTCGTTTGAGTGAACACATTGAAATAAGAATAAAAAGAACTTGATCAGAAATAAAATCCTTTAACAAGGCGTACGTCAGTCAGCGCGTGCCGTATCGAGTGGATGGGCTTGCTGCGAAGTGCCACGACGTGACGCGACATGCTGTTTAATACCAAAGCATCAATCGAGCTGCCGAAGGACGTCCTGCCGATCCGAGCATTGCCGCGCCGTTAGTGAAAACCGCACGCCGCGCCGTCTCGGGTAGTAGCTTGGAAACCACGTGTAATTTAGAAAGGAAATCCCTGATACCACGACGGACTAAAAAATATCTACGAAATACAGATGTACCCCTCGTTTATGGTAATCACGGTTTTCCCTCCCTCACTCTAAAAGTGGCCACCTGTCACCCCAAGGCCTGCCGCTTATGGCGAATGGAGATCATTCAGCGACCTCCGGCGCTTGAGCCCCCTGCGGTACTTGGTCCGTTCTCGAGCCTGGCGAGCCCTGTTCTAAGTCTCCCCTGGTCCTACTTCGCCCTCTCCTTCGCGAACATAACTAGCGCTACAGGCCTGTCTACTACTCGTATAAATAATTTACTGAAATAATGTCATAATTTAATATGCCATTTTAAATTATAATGCTCTATTTGCCCCACTTGACACTAATATAGGTACTTAACTCTTTAACATGGGCTGTTTACACGCGTAAGATTTTTTAGATAAGATAACATTATTAGCTTTTGATAATATTGTTATAACGAGTATAACGTAAACATGTAAAATTTAATGTGGATTAAATTAATTAAGAATACAAGACCAATCAATTTCCGCTGTTTCAACTGTCACCACACACACTGCCCCACTTCTTAAGATCGTAGCGTGACGTATTATAATAGGTCTTTACCTGTGAAATTGCCGTTTTGTATGCAATAAGTGAAAGTACTTATTTTTTCAAACTTTTTTATTTCTGTTATTCGAAGTAATCACCCATGCAATCGACGCATCTTTGCCAACGCATTGGCAGTTTATTGATGCCCTTCTTGTAAAAATCAGCTGGACGGGAGGCAACAAACTCTTCAAAGGCATTTTGTACTGCCTCTCGGGAATTGAATTTTTTACCCACTAAAAAGTTGTCTAAATTTTGGAAAAAGTAATAGTCGGTAGGTGCAAGGTCTAGGCCCTAGACCTTGTCCATTCGAGTCACACCACACATCAGTCTGGGCATTTGCATTTCGACTACGTTCAGGCGTCTCTCATCCGTTCTCTTAATGGGCCAACTTTCAGAACCATACGGACGGAAGGTCTGATGGTAGTTTTATATATGTCTTTTTTTATTTTAAGCAGAAACTGGAGTCATAAATTGTTCCCGTTACCTGCCGCCACTGCTAGACAGCTGATAAACATACTTTTATATTTCTAAATACATACATATTATAGATAAATTACACCCAGACACAGAACAACTGACCGTGCTCATCACAATATTTGTCCTGGGTGGGAATCGAACCCACGACCTCCGGTTTAGCAGTCAGGGTCACTAACCACTAGGCCAACCACAACCACCAATCTGTGGAACGGGTTATCGTCTGCGGTATTTCCGGATCGATACAACCTTCAAACCTTCAAGAAAAGAGCGTACTAAGGGGTACGCTCTTTTCTTGAAGGCCTAAAAGGCCGGCAACGCGTTTGTGACTCCTGAGTTGCAGACGTTCATAGGCGACGGTGGTCACTTTCCATCGAGTGACGCGTCTGCTCGTCTGCCCCCTCTAACATAAAAAAAAGCCACTAGGCCAACAGGCCCGTCTATTGTTTCCATTGTCAAAACAAAAACACATCACGAATTAAAAAAGTGCATATATTTTTACTAACAATAATAATTAGGGAATATTGGCCAAATAGTCTTTGACGTGCGCCGGCTCCAGCCTGCGGAACCCACTAGCATCGCAGATGCCCACTTCTATATTGTCCGCTGTCATCTGACCCTCGAAGCCTTCCTTCAGAGTGAGAATCGCTGTGTGAACTGCATCATCTAGTTCTAATTCTTCTGTGTACCTGGAAATAGGATTATCTAGGTTTATAAAAATTATAAGTTGTTATTATTTATTATATTTTTAAGAGCTTACATTTAGACTATTAGGTTAAACTAAACTAAAAATCACTAAATGTTTGTTTAGTCACGTGAAACAGCGTTTCGCATACTAAAAACATAGTACTTGACAGTACTAAACTAAATTTTTGTAATTTTTTGTTTATTTAGAGTTTTCGAACAACAGAATTAGCACTGGTGCCTCACAAAACAACTGTAGCTGAACAAAATTGATTGTCATTACATCTACATTACATTGATGTCTAGGTTACATTCTCACACAGTATCTAAAAGGAATTCCTTAAGCAATCTTGAGAATTTATTTTGATTTGGCTCATTCCTAATTGCTACGTATTTAAAAATGTCAAGTTGGTTTATGAACGCTTCTAAAACTCAGAAGAACCGGTTGAGTTCAAATTTTAACACAACATACAATCCGCTTCTAATATCACCAATGTAACCACAATGTAGCAAGCTTAGCAGGGCACAGTTATTTATCATATAAAACACTAATGAGCACCGCTACTGTCAATAGAATATTAAAACAAATTGTATAAGCTGCTACACTGCTGCCTACACATTGTCAGATGAGGACACGTTCCAGTGTACAGAAAAGAGTATTGGGCATCTTTCATGAAGAAAATTAGCAGACTATACTGGGAATAGTAAAATAATTTATATCATTTGACTGAACGGATGGCGTAGTAGTTTAAGCGGTCGCCACGCTGCTTACCACTATACTGAGTGTTGTGGGTCCGATCCCCACATGGGACAACACTTTGTGTGACCCACAAATTGTTGTTCTGAGTCTGGGTGTTATTTGTGTCTGTTTCATGTATGTTTGTAAAGTCCCCCGCGACACAGGATATATTCCTAATGCGGGAGTTCTTTTAAAAAAAAATTTACAAGAGCCAAACTACAGGCAAGAGCCTTAACTAGGGGCCCGTGCGCACATCGATATTTCACTGCGCATTTTTTTTTTCGTAAAAATCTGTGACACATGGGATCTATACAGGACTAGCACTGGCGGAAAAACAATTCGAGCAAAAAATAAAAAGCTTGCTCTGAAATTTCGCTGTGTTGTGTACAAAAGATGAGTTAGACACCATTTATTATTCAAGAATGGCTGAACCGATTTTTACAGTTTGATTTTTTGGATGTCTCCGTCTTAAATAGTATAATATTTATACGTTACTACTAAAATATTTATACGTTGTTATGAAACTGAACACAAATCAGAACCCACAACAGCAGTGACTTAAAACGCAGCTCAAACTGGGGGAAACTATTTGTATTATAAAGCAAAAGTGAAGAAAGGGAAAAGTAAGGTGATTGAACTTCTGGTACATGCATTCACTCTGTAAAATGGAACGAAAGATTTGTTTAACCCCTGTTTTCTGCAAGACTGCATAATAACTCTGACCAAGCCGTCCCGTATGTCCCAGACTATATAACTCGTGGGTTTTTTTTTATGTTAGAGGGGAGACGGTCAGACGGGTCACCTCATGGAAAGTGACCAACGCCACCCATGAACTTCTGCAACTCAGGAGAATATGTATAATATTGTGGATTGACAATTCAAAGGTATCATTTATACCTCTTCTCCAAAAAGGTCTTGCCATTATTGAAGTTCTTGCCCATAGCAGTAGCTTTCCACGCAAAGTAGGCTCCGGAAGGATCACACTGGAACAGGTATGGTCTGTCCGACTCCCAGCCACAGATCAGGAGGGATACACCAAACGGACGGACTCCACTGCAAATATAAAAACAACATTACTTTTCAAATACAAGTTACTTAGAAAATGAATTCTCATACTGACACACTGACAGGCCTATTGGTCTAGTGCTGCTGAGCCAGAGATTGTGGATTCAATTCCCACCTCAGAATAAATAATTAAGTAATGAATATGATCATTCACGAATTATATCATGTCTGGATGTAATTTTTGTATAATTTGTACCTATCTATACAAATAATTAAAATTGAATTGTCTGTTCATTATGTCAAAATAATAGTTTTTTTTCCTGCTCACATGGTTACTTGCACAATACCTATGCCTAAAAACCAGTAGAGTTTTGTGTCTGTTTGTAAAGGATAATCTTCTAAATGGGTGCACCAATTTTGATAATATTTTACTACCAAGTAGCTGTCTGTCAGGTAACTTAGGCTATTTTTCCTCTCAGAAAAACCGTTTAAATTATGTTTAATTATTACGAATCCAACCCACCACTAAGGCAGCGATTTTTAAATTACATGCAAACAAGATGGCGTCTTTGAAATGTAGAAGCCATTAGTTAGACAGTAGGGATTGTGTATTGTATGTACATATGTAAAGTGAGTTCGTTTGTGGGTTTTGGTCGTTAGTCCCTGCAGTGACAGGCCGTCTTGGGGGTTGTTGTGGAGAGGTCTTTTAGTTGGGCACTTAATTTTCTACGTTCTTCTAGTATTGCCCGTATTGCTTCTTTTATGTTATTATTATTTTGTATTAATGATATTTCATATATAGGCCAGGTGGAGTGACGATTTGCACAAGATGGCTGGCAGGAGCTGGATGCGAGAAGCCCAAAATCGATCTAAGTGGCGTGCAATGGGAGAGGCCTATGTCCAGCAGTGGACTGCGATAGGCTGATGATGATTAATGATATTTTATTAATATTATTAACATATTCCAAAATACTTACCCAGATTGAGTATACTCCTGCATTACTGTAGCAACTCTCTGGACGAGTTGAGCAGTTGGTATGGGCTCATGGTACATTAAGTAATACTGCTGGGCCATTTTACGAGCTTGTGTGACGAGCAGACGGTAATCTGGACCCATGCCAGAGTATACCATACCTGAAACATGTCCAGTTAAATTATTGAGTATTACATTATTTAGATATATGGGTATTTGTATGTCCGTGTGGTGACAGATTAAGAATATGGAGTGTCACCACCTCTATTCACTAAGTGGGTGTCGTAAGAACAGACTAAGGGAACTAACTGCACTACTGTGGTATCCCTCCAGTTGAACCTAGCCCTCCCACAGTTACTCCAGTTACCTTGCTTACCCTTTTTGGTATATATATTTATTATTTTTACCATAATTTACTATTATTTCTTAGTCTATCTGAAACAATTACATTTTCAAGGGTTTTCTACCAGACATTTGGCCACGTTAGCATGTAAGCCATGGTGCATGTAAACCTGCCAAAACCCATTACAATCTCACATATAGCGCCAACCGAAAATAAAATACCCACATACGTTTTTTTTCTTTTGTTAATGCATACATATCAAACATAAAAAACACCCTACTCTGAAACATATATTTTATTTGCAGATCATACAAACATTTACTCTGACCTGGGAATCGAACCTGTGACCTCAGCACAGCAGTCGCACGCGCTGACAGTGTGCCACAGAGACAGTTTTTATATGAATACTGTGCTAATTTTTGCAGTTTCATTATTTATGTTGTCAACAATTTAAATTCTTTCAATTGAGCGACTTACCAATATGTCCAGTGATCATTTCAACTTTGTTGACACTGTGCTCATCGTATAGGATGCTTTTGTGCTTATTCTCAGTTGCAATCACGACGCCATTGGATGCTGGAACGTAAAAGAACAGAAATTTCCTAAAGTTGCCTAGTCATACAGAAGAATACACAAAAAAATATCTTAATGTGTAAAGCAATGATTAAACGTGCAGGTTTAGTAATTCAATGGTACTTTGGACAGTAGTAATCCTAGTTAAAACATGTATAGTTAGTAATTAAGAGTCGTCGACTCATCGAAAACACCGACGCCAAACTAACCTCTCTTTCGATAGTAACTTACCTTTAATTCCGACGGAGGTGCCGCCGGCGGCAACGGCAGCTAACGCATATTCAATTTGAACTAACTTCCCTGAAGGGCTGCGGAAAAAGGCACGAAAAATCATTAATATCGCACAGAGTACAGCTTAAAAACTTTGTTGAATAAACTTGGAAATAAGAATAAAAATTAATCAGTACACAATTCTCAATACTAATACATTACTAAAAAAAGTAATTGTGAGCTAGAAAGAGGTGAAAAGTTGGTAAATATATTTAATTTTTACCTAAAAGTTGTGAGAGAGAAACTATAACGCTCAGACGCCATGATTACAAAGCAGAATGTCAAAATTTGGTACTGTCATGTTGTCAGCGACGGCAGAACGTCAAAACTACGTTTAGTTCTATTGTTAATGTCGGGTCTACCATATGTGTGTAAAATTAACTTTATTATGCTTTTGAATAGTTAAAAGGAACTTGATTTATAGATACATAATTAAACAATCATACATACACTTACGACTTTATCCTCGAGGGATAGACAGAGAACTATAAAACTACCGCATTTTGCCAACAGTTTCATATTGAAAAACGAACTTTGTTTGACGTAGCTAAAAAACCAGAACGTACATCAATTATTATTTTTACTAGAACCATTTGGTGGCATAAACATTATCTTTTACTACTCTAAGTTAATAATATTTAGTGTCTCAGGATTATAGTTCTCACTCATGTTAAAATATTTATCGTATTTGTATGAGAAACTAACAAGTAAAGTTTTATACCAAAAGAATTAGATCCAAACATTTAACTTCCCGTTCATTGGTTGAATTTGCACCAATTAGAATCAAAAGTATTTCGCTCAATAATTTGACTGACACTATTGCGAATCAAAACTGTGCTATTTATAATTTTAATGATCTTACAGTGAAAAGAACTGATAAACTCCCAACCGATATGTTAGGAGGCCTCCGGGGTGTTTCGCCGTCATCAGAGACCATGTCTGAAGGCACTTTAGAAAGAAATCGAATTGAAAGAGCCCTTATATCCAAGACGCCAACACATAGTCAGCTCTTCCAAAAAAATGTTGGTGTTAAAAATTATTCAGATAAGAATGGCAATGATGTGACGAAAGCCGTACATAAAGGACGAAAGACGTTTGCATTCTGGACGCTTGTTTGTTTATTGTTTATCCTCGCTATCGGGAATTTGATGTTGACTTTCACCATCCTTGCTGTGTTGAGACTTGGCCACGGTAATAAAAATAAATAATTTACTCTTTGGTATCTATATTTTCCTTCACCTTGTTATGAGTATAATAACTCTAGTCTTAGATAAAATAAATTAATCTAAATAAAAAAATATCATTCATGGTGGCTTTAATATTATATTAGAAGATAAATCTTATTTAGTGTTGAAAAACTTGTTTTAAGCCTATACGAATGAATGACATACAGAAAATATACTTTACAGATATTGTAATTATGTATAAAGTTAAAAAAATAATAAAAGTTAAATTCTGACCTTTGTGGTTACCAAATTTTTATAGATTTATCATGTACTAGCTGACCCGCGCAACTTCGTCTGCGTCTCTCAATAGTAATAAATTTTCTCCGTTTTTGAAACATTCTTCATTGGTGCTTCGCTCCTATTGGTCTTAGCGTGATGATATATAGCCTATAGCCTTCCTCGATAAATGCGCTATCTAACACTGAAAGAATTTTTCAAATCGGACCAGTAGTTCCTGAGATTAGCGCGTTCAAACAAACAAACTCTTCAGCTCTCTTTTTTTGTATTTTTTGTATTTGTAATATATAAATATTGTGGCAATATATAAAAGCTTTAAGCATTTAAAAAATAAACTTGAAATTGCTATGAGCACACCAGTTTTTTTTTAAAAGTCAATTTTTACCGCATTAGGTATGATATATACCTAAAGCGAGCGACTTGCCTGTGTAGCGGAGGACTTTACAAACATACATGAAACGGACACAAAGAACACCCAGACTCAGAACAACTTTGTGGATCACATAATTCTTTATTATAACTTTTTTGTCATAATGTACTATGAAAATGTGACACAAACCCTATACCAACCTGCCTGGCCACCGTGGTAGAGTAGGCCAAAACCTCCTTTCTAAGGAAAGGCCTATTTCCAGCAGTTTTTTTATTAAAGGCTGTTGTTGTGTGTGATGTGTTCAAAATTTAATTCCATTTAACTCATAAAATTAGTAACATCTAAACAGGCAAAGCCATAGGTGAAACATGATGTAAAATAAATTCATAATCCCTATTGTTGGTAGAGGAATTGTCACTGATCTAAATGCCAACATTTCAGGTATGGAGAGCATGGAATTTTTGCCTGATCACAATGCAATTAAATTTTTTGGAGACACAAACCTTGAGCACTTGCACAAGAAGGATGGTCTGATCGAGAGCTTCCGGGATACTCCGATGACTATCACCAGTGACAATGGATCTGTGCTGTTCAATTTACAGATTAAGTATGTATGCCGTCAATATTTCCACGAGCTAGGGTTTGTGGATAGATTCTATATTTTTTATAGAAAAATTGTGTATTTATCAATTTACTTAAACACAATTATCGAGAATAATAATAATAACCTCAAACATCTGACACTGTCTGATCCCAAACTAGGCAGAGCCTGTTTAATAGTAACCAGACTGCTGAAAAACATATTTATAAATTTCTAAATACATATAGTACAATATAGGACATATAGTATATATAAATTACACCTAGACACAGAACAAATGATTGTGCTCATCACATAATTATTTGTCCAGTGTGGGAATCAAACCTATAACCTCTGGCTTAACAGTGAGAGTTACTAACCACTAGACTAGACCAACAGGCCCCTCAATATTATTATGAACCAGAATTTGTGGATGGAAAAATTTCTATAAATAGGTAATTTATTTATATTCCTTGTAATATAAATAAGTGTGTGTGGTGATGGATTAACAATACGGAGTGTTACCACCCCTGTTCATCCAGTAGGTGTCGTAAGCGCCGACTAAGAGAGCAAATTATGCAGAATAACAGCACTGCAAAGAGAAGGAAAGGTTGACACAAACTTTATACCAAACGGTCTGGCCAGTGTGATATAGTGGGCCTTAACCTCCTTTCTAAGGAGAGGCTTAACCTCCTTCCTTTCTAAGTTAAGGCCTAAGCCCAGCACTGGTCTGGTAAAGGCTGTTGATGATGGTGATTTGTAATAAACACAATCATTTGCGACTATTGACAATACTCACTGATATTTGCTTATAATATTCACTATCGTATTTGTTTACTTTTTGAATCACAGAAGTATTGCCCATTCGCGATGTGAAAATAGTGACGCATCTATCTAACCCCAGACACTGACCAATCAGGATCTAAGAAATTATTATTTCCCACGAAAGCTTGTTCATTCAGGTTTATCGATTTGTTACTATTTCCTAATTCGAATAGATTATAGAATTTATTTATACCAGGTTACCGCGGGTATTTATAGTGCGAGCTTATCTCTTAAAATGTTCTGAAATTGTAGTGACGTTACTCATAAAATAGTATCCTGACTGACTTTTGGAATTTGCCCGAAAATTGTGGAAAGTTATGGAATGTAGGATTTCCTATTAAAAGTGTTAATCATGTATAGTTGTATGGTTACTGAAGTATCCAAAATTCTCGTTTTTTTAATATTAACATTAACAATTTCTGTGCAATCCTGGTGACCGGTTACCTGCTGTTAGATGATTACCGCCAACTCAAGAGTAACAAGTACGTTTCCACTTTTGGAGTTACCCCAGAATCAGGGGAAGTGGGGTTTGGGCTCCGGTAACCTAAACCGGTTTTCTTCGAAGCCGTCGTATCACTTCGATCCAGCCAGCCCCGTTGTGCCGAAGAATGGCACGACCTGAAAGCCTAGTGCAAATTTATTTTACATCAACTCGCTCTCGACAGCGAGCGCGTTCGGCGTTGCGATTGGTGAAGTTTTTAAGATTTGAACGCGGTCACCGTGATGAGTAAAAAGATGTAAAATAAACTCACACTTGAGTCTTTGTATTAAACTTTAGTATGTCGGAGCAAGAAGCACTATTTATTTCATCATCATTGACAGCTTCTAGTGGTCCACTGCTGGACACTGGCAGAGGCCAGGTGGTAACCCAAAACCTCGTTTAAGGAGAGCCTTAGAAAGGAGGTTTTGGGTTACCACACTGGCCAGAAGGGTTGGGTTTATTTCAAGTTTCCCTATTATTATTTATTTATCTTTATAAAGTAAGCATTCTGTTTGAAAAGTATTTTTTATTAATTATTATTTGTGTGAAGTTTTTAATGATTCCTTTTCAGGCCCTCTCGTTATGAGAATAAACTCACAGTCAATACATCAGGTATTTTCGTACGGGGGGTAAATGCCTTGGAGCTGATCGACCCAGACTCCGGAGAAGTGGTCTTCAGCACTGCATCTTCAGAGATGAATATTCCAGATGGTGTTAAGAATCTTCATGCAAGGGTAGGTGTCATTTGTTAAATTATGAGGATGATATTCACCAGATGTCGTAGACTTGGGATGCTTGAATACTAGATAGAAGTTCTAGAAACAATCATACGTACTCTAGAAACAAAGTGTTCAATAACGAAATAATAGAATGTAATCGTGTTCATATGGGACAAACGAAGGCAAATAATCTTCTTCATTTGTCGTAGTATGTATGTAGTGACTCCCACATACAATGAAAACAAAAACATACTTCAGCGCCATCTAACGCAGACACACCGAACTACGGAGTAATTACTAATCCGGTGTTGCGCAATGAAAATTCACAATTAGCATTCCTTCCCAGGCATGATCAACTCGCCTGTATGTCGCTTATTCCATCGCTTCATATGCCACGATAACCTACTGTTCCTGAACTTATCATCGAGTGCTACCTTGTCAGGGTCCCTCTAATTCATTTCTCACCATTTCAACACTAGCCACTATGAATTTTTTTACATTTCTATTTAATATTTTCCTCAACATTGCAGCAAATATCAGTAAAACGCATAACTGCACCAGTGGATGAAGATCTCAACCTTCGAACAGAGAGTTCTGCCCACCTTCGAGGAGCCGAAGGCACCCATATGGAGTCTAAAGAATTATTCTGGAGCGCTGACCAGGATATCTACCTAAAATCCATCAACGGTACTGTGGTTTTGAGTGGCAAGGAGGGTGTTTTCATTGATGTAAGGTATCTGCCCATAGCAGTGGCTTTGAAGAAGACAGATAAGTACAGCCAGGGTACAGGACAATTTAAAGTGTGTGTCTGTATGCCTCAAGGAAAACTGTTCAGAATAGCGGTGCCCACGGGGCAGAAGGTTACCTGTTCTCATATAAATATGACTGGGGATATGAACCCTTGTGTCTAGAGCAGGTTTTGTGTGGTACTCATATTATGAATAATCTGTCTCTGGTATAATAGCTCCTAAACAGATGGGCCAATGTAAATAGGCTTTTTTTATTTAAGATGTTGAACTAGTCAATACACAGTTGTTAAAAGGGCAGCCTGATTAGATATTGGCCCTTTAAAGGCCTTTTAAAACTCTGCAATACCGAACAGAAAGCAAGCTTGCATCATAGCCATTAAAGTGTTGTTAATATCAAATTCTGGGCACATAAAAGATCTAGAGTATCTCACACTCAAACGACAGGTTGATTGGAAGTTGAAGAGAACTAGTAGTTTGTCCTCATGACCTATGGTCTATGGTCTTTCGGCTAAAAAGAATAAGATAGGTTCCGAACTATACTGGCTTGCTCGAAATACACAAATGAGTATAATGTATGAAAGATTGATTGATTGGTCAGGGTCTGGGACTTCCTTTCTAGGATATACCTGGTTCCCCGGCTATTAGTACCCGAGACGGCGTGCGGTTTTAGTCGGTTCGAGTCCGACATGCCACCGATAGGTGGTATCCGAGGGGATTTCCGCACGAAAAAAAAAGGGTCTGGGGTTAGATCGATACGTTACTATTTCCTAATTACAATAGAATGTCTTTATAATAGGTTACCGCGGGTATTTATAGTGCGAGCTTATCTCATAAAAAGTTCTGAAATTGTAGTGAAGTTACTCACAAAAAGTATTCTCACTGACTCTTGGCATTTTCTCGAAAATTGTGGAAAGTTATGGAATGTAAGATGTCCTATTAAAAATGTTAACCATGTATAGTTTAATGGCTACTGAAGTATCCAAAATTTTCGTGTTCTTTCTATATTAACATGAAAAATGCTATTCAATCTGTAATTACGAATGCAACTGATAAAATTATTTCTAGTCAATATTAGGTTTTCATGCTAGTCAGATATTTATAATGTAATTAATTTGCCTACATTAGACAAAGGTAGTCACCATAGTAATTATTAACCTATGTACATAATTAGGAATGTATCAAGTCACTGTTTAAATAGCAGTTATAAATAAAATATTCTAGTCAATTTGTTGTATGATTTTCTTTCAAGTTATTTTTTTTTTTTTTTTGGTAAAGTCCAATTCCTGTAAAGTCCAAGTCTAGGAACCATCCAAGCCTTTGTCCACTAAAGGAAGGTAGAGGCGTGTCCTATTTAAAAGACTAAAATTTAATCCGATTTAAGTCCCAACTGCTCCGTGTGGTGACGGATTAAGAATACAGAGTATCACCACCTATTCACCCCGTGGGTGTCGTAAGAGGCGACTAAGGGAGCAAACTACGCAGGACAACAGCACTGCAGAGAGAAGGAAAATCTGAAACAAACCCGTCTGGCCAGCGTGGTTATAGTAGGCCAAAACCTCCTTTCTAAAAAGAGGCCTATGTCCAGCAGTAGACTAGTAAAGGCTGTTGATGAAGTTCTCACTCATGGAAATATTTTTTAAAGAAAAGGTATGAAGTAAAGAACCAGAAGACTCGCAAAAGTCAATAGCGACTACAGCTCCGGTTCGTTCGTGATGCAAAGGTTGGCCATTGCAGTTCAACGCGGCTATGCAGCAAGTGTGATGGGACCTTTCTACTTGAAACTAGGACGGATTAATTTCATTGTATTAAAAAAAGGAATGTTAAATTTAAAATAAAACAAATTGTACTAACTAATATGGATGTTAAAATCTATACAAATAAATAAAATTGGAGTGTCTGATTGTAATATTAGAATACCCGTTTTTTACTAAATGCATATGTATGTTTACACGGTACATATGCCAAAATAACATTTTTTCAATTTTTGTCTGTTTGTTCCGGGTAATCTCTGGAACGGCTGGACCGATTTCGACGGGACTTTCACTGGCAGATAGCTGATGACATAAGGACTAACTTAGGCTACTGTTTTTAGACTAGCTTCGCCCCGCGGCGCTGCCCGCGGCTATAACAACAAACGCGGGTAACACCGCGGGTCTCAGCTAGTGGATAATTAAATCTGAAATATATTATAGTGTAATTATTATTAGAACGTACACTATATGAAAAAACTACCCATTAAATAAGGTATAGAAATGTTGAACAGAATATCTTCGATTTATGTTGAGCATAATACAGAATACCTTAAATTTAGCAGGGATCGAACCTGGCTGTCCAGAGCACTCAGAGCATCCCTCAAATGCACCCTAGAGTAAAACATCATCATCATCAACAGCCTCTATTAGTCCACTGCTGCACATAGGCCTCTCCTTAAAGAGGAGATTTTGTTAATACCACACTGGCTAGACAGGTTGGTATAGGGTTTGTGTGAAGTTTCCTTCCCTTTGCAGTGCTGTTAGTTTGCTCATGGGATGAATAGAGGTGGTGACACTCCATATTCTTAATCTGTCGCTATAAGGATAAAACCAATTATATATCATAAATTAATTGGGGTTTAAAATAAAACACTTGAGTAAATGTAATTCCTTATTTTAATGTCGTATAAGCTGAAAATGCAGGCAGTTCCATTGAAATAACATTTAAAGACGAATGCAAAAATTCCTTTTATATACAGAAACATACTTATTATATTAAATTTCACTCACATTTTTCAAAATATTTGAAATTTCGGTCGCGGATGTTCATCAAATTTGTTGAATTTATTTTAGAGAATGACATACAATGGAATAGGGGTAGCTGCCTATGGTCAAAATACAATTTATGCGTTTTTAATGGTGTAGGGGACGAACCAGCAGACGGGTCACCAAAGTAGTAGTTACCGCCGTCCATGGATAATTACAACTCAACTGAACCCCAGAACTACTCAGAGAGGTTTTTCGCTCCCTCACTAGGTGAAAAGTAACGAAAGAATTGCTGAGCACCGGTTTATGTGAGGCCGGGGTATTATTTACTACAAGTATATTGAATTTTTTACATTATAAAACCTAACATTAAAAGTTGGTTGGACAATAGCAAGGTATGACGTCACAAGTCGTTATAAACAAGATTTGGTTTTTAAAACCGTTCAGGGACTTATTGGAAATTTTATGATAAATCTATATATACATGTTAAGATGATGTGTACGGTTAAAAAACCCTAAGTTCTGCACCAATTGAGCTCAATTTTTGTTTGAGTTTTGTTCCTAATTTCTCGTGAATGTAACCACAATATGCCACAGCTAAGCGTGACTGGGTACAATTTTATTAAATAATTAATTTTATAAGTCTCACTGACTTCAATACAATTAAATCATGATGAATTGTAATAAACTGTGTTCTTTATTCCTTAATTTCCCAATCTTAGAAATAGTATTTTTACTTTGAATTTGTATGGGATCAAGCGGGGAACATACCTTCCTTAATCATCAACAGCCTTTACTAGTCCACTGCTGGACATAGGCCTCTCCTCAGCAAGGAGGTTTTGGCCTACTACCGTCCTAAATCAATAAATAATTTTCCATATCGTTTCACAAATGATGGAGTTCTGAGCTAACTGATTTTTATTTTACAGGACTAACCCCAAGTTATGACACTCGGAAAAAAGTGTCTAATAAAGAAATTAATCAGAAGTAAATTGGAGGAGTTAGAAATATGATAAATGAACTTCCCTGTTTAGTAAAGCGGGCGAAAACGTGAAGTAAACATTTTTCAATGTAAGATAACAGATGCAAAAAGGATCCAACCGATTAGAGAAACTCCTACTTTTGTTATTTTTAGTTTGAGTCAAAGCTATATTCTATAACCCGCCCTTTGTGTACAAACAATGGTTAACAGTCGCCGTATCCCTATTTAGTAATTTTTTAATGTCATAATACTATCGTCCATAGATAAATTAACTCTATAACTTTTTTTAATCATCTTATAGGCCATGCGTGTTAAGATAATAATTAGGCATCGTTCGAGCCCTGGCCCCTGCCCAATCAGGTTACAAACTTTCGTACTAAACGATAATTTCTTGTAATCTGATTGGTCGTCGATGCGTCACTATTTTCTTAAAGCGAATAGACTATAGTAGTTTTCAAGATATGCGCTCTCAAACTTTTTATGTTATTTATATATTAGACCATGTATTTAATTTCCCATAATAAACATAAAAAAACGTATGTCATTCCCTAATATAAATATTTAATCAAATATCAACAGCGAAATCACCATAATTGTTCGCGCAGTTCGCGGCTATAGACCAACACAAATGAACACAGAGCACATAATGTTTATATCCTCAGACGGCGCCTGAGTTGTTCTCGCTGCTCACTATCTGGTATGTGATCAGATATTCGGGGTAGGCCTGTAATGGAAGACAATTTTAAATAGTAGTAGATAATAAATAAATAAAAAATCTACTAACATAGGTTATTCATTTGATAATTACTATTGAGAATAAGTAAGTAAGTGAAGTACAGGTTATGAGCAAACGCTCATAACCAATAAAAAACACGTTCCAACATTACTTGTTCACATTTTCGCTAACAACGTAATTAAATATATAACTTGTTTATCGAAGAACTCATCAGAAAGGTTAGTCACGAAAATTCTAAAAAGACTGAGAATTCATTTTTACCCGTGCAATTGAATTCTAAGGAACAGTTTTAATAATAATGCAGGGTGACACGAAATAATGAGTTTTATACTAATACGCATAAGATCGAGAATAGGTTGTCGCATGATAATCGTCGCATCATTCTCAGAAAACAAAAGTTTTATAAGAATTCGTCTGGCGAGTATTATAAATACGGGCACGGGCACTATGTTCGCCGGAGACAGTTCAGTTTGAACTACAGTGCAATAAACATCGAAGCAAATAGGAATGTGACCCAGCAACCTCGGCGATCACTATTCTTCAGTATTGTTGAACGTTTTTAAGTGTAGTAATAATAAAGTGTCTTTAGTCGTCAGTAGGTTTATTATTCCGAATCAACAAACCCTAACAATATAATTCTTCAGTAAATCTAAAATAATGTTTCTAAGTAACACTAGCTTTTCTTTATCCCCAGCAAACCGTGATAGATACGTGTGACTCAAGAATTAGAAGAAGGGGGTGATATTGATCCTAGTGTAACCTTAACTCACACCAGTTATTTGTGAGATAATACTACGGTTCTCGGAACGCTCACGGTAAATTCAAAACTACCCTGTCATGAATAAGGTTATTGTAATTCGTAATGAGTCTCACCTGCTCGCCCCTGTACACGACATACTCCGGGAAGCAGAGCCCCCCCTGCGAGGGCCGGCCCGCCACCGAGTGGTGTCCGGGGGGTGCGTGCGCCATCTTCATGGCTGACATCAGTTGGAAGGCGCGACCCAGCGTCACTCGGCATAACAGCATTTGTCTGGGAATGGAGACAAATATATTTACTTTTGAAGTAAACTGTGATTGCAGGTATTTAGTGACAGCGCAATTGATATTGAGAGCGAGAACTTAGTGGCCAACAGTTGGACACATTTTTTTGATGATTCCGTAACTTTGTCCTATAATAGAGACTTATAAATGATCTAAGGCATAAGCATTTTATTTTATTGATGTAACATCTTTCCTTCAGTCTGTCGAGGTGATTTCATAAAAAGGGACGGAAGTGCGTAACAGGAAGTAAGGGAAACGCGCGCTATTTGATTTGACCAATGACCTCGCGCTGTGGTAGGTGAGATGTCAGATGTTTTTTATGTCTCTCCTTCACATAAGGAGCTGAAAGCTATACTCACCTGTGACATAGATAACAGCTCCTGTCTTTATGTGCTGGACATCCAGACCCCCCTCCGAAGCCGTACACGTACTGGTTACTCTTGGAGGAGTGCTCAGCGAAGTATATACCCGCGCCGAACATACCGCCTAAATAGAAACCATTTATTAGCATCTGTGAATGTAAATAATCACACGCGCCAATGTTATATAAAAATATTAAATGTCAAAGTAAAACAAAGCTTTGTTTTCCCGCCGATAGAATTATTTAACCTTCTTTTGTTTAGGCAAAGATAACTACTTGAAGCCTAGTTATTTTTTTTTAAATTTCATATTTAGGCAAAGGCATCTCAGCTAAACATTTGTTTGGTTTGTCAGCTTTGTGCGGGCAAAGATAACGTCGAACCTAATAAATTGTTTAAAGTCCAAATTTAAAAATAAACCGCTGACAACAGGAATATTATCATTAACTACAAATGACTATTAAATGAAGAAAGAAAAGGAAAACTTGAAACAAACCTTATACCAACCAGTTTGGCCAGCGTAGTATAGTGAGCCAAAACTTCCTTTCTAAAGAGAAGCTTAAGTCCAATAGTGGCTTTAAGGCTTTTTTTACGTGTGGAAACCCCCTCGTGCCGTCACCCCACCGGGGTTTGCGACGGGGTGGTGTGTCGGACTCGGACCGACTAAACCCACACGGTGTGGTACTATACAGGCGCAGAGTGGCTGCGTCTGTAATAGGAGGGATCCGGGAACAGCTGTTATTAAGGCATCCGGACCAGACTACAAAAGGCTTGGTATAGGGTTTGTATAAAGTTTTCCTTCTCTTAGCAGTGCTGTTGTCCAGCGTAGTTTGTTCTCTCAATCGGCTCTTAAGATACCGGCGGGATGAATAGCGGTGGTGACACTTCATATTCTTAATCCATCACCACATGGATAGGTTATCAAGTACGTTAGCACATTGCAAAGTTGAGCACATCTAGCAAGGTCAGTATATAGATGGGTGACCATTCTTAACACATTGAGATCCCTCCGTGCCTCGGAGAGCACGTCAAGCCTTCGGTCCCGATTGCCATATGAACATGGATTTACTGTATGGTGTTAATTTTTATCAACCTCACTTGATGTAACATCCGTTGCACTTTTACAAATCTCTGCGGTTTTCAAATGTACTATAATCAATAATTGTAAATTGCTTTGTAATATGTTAAATAAATTAACAAAAAGAAAAAAAAAACTGTGGCAATCGTTACGGGTAGTGTGAGCCCTAAAATACCCGACAAGTCTATCTACAGAACTTGGATATCGATCAGTAGGGTAGTAGAGTACCCAAGTAGGGTATGGAGGTCTCGAAATCGAAGTTAAGTCGTGTCGTAGTGGACTGAAAGCCAAGGTTCGAAGGATGATGTGATAGAAGTAATGTACCGATGTAGGCGTGTCGCTCGTCGAAGCCCTTCTGCACGATGGCGTTGATGAAGGGCGAGCCGTGGAACAGCATGCGCTCGTTGGGTGCGCCCGCCTCCTCGCACACCTCGCGCCGCCGGTGCTGGTAGCGCTCCCACAGGCGACCGTTCACCAGCTTCTGGATCTGGACACCACTCTCTCATTATTATATCATGGACACTCAAGAGCCACAAGTGCTTAAACCCCCCCCCCCATAATTAGGGAGAGACGAAGGGGTTCTCATAATTAAGACATTAGAGAATAGATATCAAGGCGGATGGAACGTTCATATGATAGCTGATTATTGCTTGGGGAATTATGCTTGATTCTCCAAGACAATTTCATTATAAAAGTTCAAATACATTATTTGTAAATATGTTTTGTTCATATTTTGCATGCCCATTGGTAGAAAATAATGTTTGCGCATTAATCCTAACCCCAGTAATACTCTTTTCTGTTTATGTTCACAATAAAAAAAAAACTGGATATCCCCAAAGAGGTACACAAAGGCGTGTATATAAATTCCGTGTAGAACATGCTTCTCAAAAGATTATACAATGCAAATCATCATCATCAACAGCCTATCGTAGTCCACTGCTGGACATAGGCCAATACAATGCAAATACAATTAAACAACTACAATTACAAAAACAAATACAATTGTTATGTAAAAGAGCGCTTCTCGCCTTCAAATGTAAAATTTTGGCGAGTATAGAACTAAGTAACACCTCTATACAACAATTTCATTACCAGAGTAAAAAAAAAACAAATGTTTAATGTACGGAGTGGGAATTGAACCCTTCATTCTCATCCTTGGAACATTCAAGGTATTGCAGTCTCAGTTCCGCGATTTCCGGTATTCTCTACTCTGCCCACCTTTCTAACCGTTCTTCTTATCCTTATTTAACTTCTTAATTTATTTCGCCTAAAAAGGCGTTATTCATACGACTTAATTAGCGTTAATAATTAATTAGCGTTTGATTCATACAACAATGAAATCAACTAAAACCTTTTGCAAAAAAAGCCAACCCAACTAATAAATACTTTAAATTAACAAACTGGCGATTTTAATTTTCATATACCCATTTACTCTTACAATTAAGACGAATCTAACAACCCCCTTCTTTTTTACCGTGCGGAAATCCCCTCGGATACCACCTATCGGTGGCATGTCGGACTCGAACCGACTAAAGCCGCACGCCGTCTCGGGTACTAATAGCCGGGGAACCAGGTAAACCCTAGAAATGAAGTCCCTGGTGCCCCGACATACCTCGGGCCATCTACAACAACAGGTAGACGACCCCCCCGTGTGGGAACCCCATGTTCCCTCTGCTTCCTCGAAGCGAGCTCACTTTGCAACGCGCTCGCCGCCACCCCAGCCTGATCTAACAACCCCTAAGACAAAATCCATTAAGCACAGGTTACAGAATGTGCTAAAGAAATAAACATACATTTACTCATAATTCATAACCTTCTGGTGCAAAACACATCATCACACACATCAACAGCCTTTACTAGTCCACTGCTGGACATAGGCCTCTCCTTAGAAAGGAGGTTTTGGCCTACTATACCACGCTATCCAGACGGGTTGGTATAGAGTTTGTTTCAAGTTTTCCTTCTCTTTGCAGTGGTGTTGTCCTGCGTAGTTTGTTCCCTTACGACACCCACGGAATGAATTGAGCTGGTGACACTCAATAAAATAAGGTGCAAAACACATTACCCATTTTTATTTTTTTTTCCGTGCGGAAATCCCCTCGGATACCACCTGTCGGTGGCATGTCGGATTCGAACCGACTAAAACCGCACGCCGTCGCCGGGTACTAATAGCCGGGTAACCAGGTATACCCTAGAAAGGAAGTCCCTGGTGCCCCGACATACCTCGGGTCATCTACAGACGAGTAGACGACCCCCCCCCAAGTGGGAACCCCATGTTCCCTGTGCTCCCTGGAAGCGAGCGCGCTTCGCAACGCGCTCGCCGCCACCCCGGCCTGCTTCTGCTAGGGTGACAGATGGCCTCACCTGTCACCCCCAGGCCTGCGCTTATGGAGGACGGAGGTCCCTGAGTCGCCTGCGGTGCCTGGCCCGTTCCCGGGCCTGGCGGGCCGGGAGAGTCCTAAACCTCTCCCGGTCCCGCTCAACACATTACCCCCTAAAATGAAATAAATAGTGCAGGAGATGATATTGATACAACTTACCCTGACGACGTTATAGTGCGTGAAGGCCCCGCCGGCCTGGTCCCTGTGTGCCCTGACCGAGGCCTGCATCTCCCTCTCTACGATACTGTACTCGCTCTCCGCGCACCCCTCCTCCGTGGGCGCCGTCACCTCCACCAGGGTCGTGCCTCCGTACCATTCTATAACAGGATATGATGTTAATACTATTTGTTGGGATTGAGCACGTTTTTATTTAATAATAATTGACGGGCCTGTTGGTTTCCAACCTGGTCAAATTGTTCTGTGTATGGGTGCAATTTACTTATGTATTTAGAAATATATAAGTATGTTTATCAGCAGTGTGGTTACCATAGCACAAGCTCTGCCTAGTTTGGAACCAGACGGCCGTGTGTGAGATTTGTGAGGTTTTATTATTATTCCTTACAATAACTTCCGAATCTTCAAATCTAATCTTTAAAGTATCTAGTTGCAATAGACCTTGCCCCCTTGTACATAAATGTGATTGTGGAGTGAGAGGAAAAGTGTCAAACACGAGAAATAAAAAAAAATGTATCTCATACTCGTAATAGGGGTTAAAGTATGAAATTGCCGTTTTATAGTAATAGATACTTTGAATTGACATAAAACCTTCATGGTGTGAGATTTTCGAGTAAAACCTTTTTTTTTCATGATACCTATGAGGATCTCCTTTTAAAAAACGTGCAACATTCGAATTTCGACTTTCAACTTTTTTTAAATAAGCTTAGACGTGAGAGATGGATACTTCGAAAATCCGAGTCATTTTTAGGGTTCCGTACCTCAAAAGGTAAAAAAGGAACCCTTATAAGATCACTTTCTTGTCCGTCTGTCTGTCCGTATGTCCGTGTGTCACCACCGATTTTCTCAGGAACGGGTAAACCTAGCAAGTTGAAATTTTCACCAGATACTGAGTCCCTATTAGTTGTATAAAAATCAAGGTCCTGAGTCAACACGATAAAAACACATGGGCAAAATTTCGATTTTCGCGAAAACTTGTAAGTACCAAAATTTAATTAAAGTAAAGAGAAAATTTATTTTTCAGAAAAATAAAAAAGTTGAAAATTAAGATAAATTTTGGTACTTACAAATTTTCGCGAAAATCTACGTAAAATCTGGGTAGGTACGGAACCCTCGGCGCAAGAGTTCGACTCGTATCTGACCGGTTTTTTTTAAATACGAGTTAGCGTTACGAGCAATATCAACCCTGCGTTTGGAGAGGAGACTGCAGGGGCGTGCGCTCCTTGTAGGCAGAAATGCAATGCTTTACTTGCTATTCACAGACATGTTAATAAAACGTTGGTACGTTTTAGATGACTTTAATTAATAGTAAATAAATGAAAAAACAAAATATAATAACTTAAAAACGCGTACTATTTACAAATAGCATAGCACCACACAAACATTGTTTGCCGGGTGTTTACCGAAAAGCAAGCGCAAAGCAACTCATGCCGTCGCCTCGCAGGACATTTGTTCGCATGTGTGTAGTAATTTTGGTGTCCGTGCACAGTTCGCATACGCACACACCCATTTATTTTATATGCCCGACTACAGCCGCAGGCCTTCGGGTTCCCGCGCTAATCGTTGTCGTCAGTATTCGGGTATAATCGGCAGTGTTCGTTGCCTATAAATCCACCCAATTACAATAATCAGAAATATAATGAATCATGTATGCGGATTATGAATTTTGAATATGGTAAGGTTTTATTTGTTTAATTAGCAGATATGTTTCTTGTTCGCGGGGGCCATACTGATTTTTTCATGTGATAAGCATTGTTTACTATTTTCTTTCCGCCAGTATAATTATAGTTTTATTTGAAAGTGTGTACATTTAACAGTTTATTACTGAGTTCCGTTGATTTTTTTTAAAATGTTTTTTGATTGTGAGTTATGTGTGGATAATGTATGTCTATTAAAAATTAAAAATAACAAGTTCTCACAATTGCCATTCAGTGAAAAGATTAAAATTGTGTCTAAAGGTAGGTGTGTACCCGAGTTACAACAATTAAACCAGCAAAAAGGAAATGTAACTCGCAAGTTTCATGTTAAAAGTTATGAAACGTATAACTGGCTGTGTGGTTGTGTACACACGATTAAATTATATTGTTTTCCTTGCATATTGTTTAGTAATTCTAGTACAGTGTGGACTGATTCGGGATATTCAGATTTAAATAATTTCTATTCCGCAGCAAAGAAGCATGATGCATGGTGAGTAGTTATAATATTTTAGCCTATTATTTTACTTATTAGAATTTCTTCCGCCGCGACGATCTATCGCTGTTTTGTCTGCGTTCCCGTTGAAGATGTACATGAATAGTAGTACATCTAAGACTTGTGCTAAAAATCTATAAAAGGAAAAGTGACCGACTACTCCGCCGCATACCTAGTGTCATAATCCTGTGCACGCCGCTGGGAGACTGCTAATGAACGCACCGTGGCGTTTTTTGTTTAAACGCTATCGTAATGGAAACTACGACTTGAAGAACGAACCGCGTGGAAGACCGCCCACACAGCTGAATAACGCTGAATTGAAAGAGATGGTGGAAGCCGATCCGAATCAAACTACCCAGGAATTAGCGACATGGTTTAACGTGACCCTACCTACAATATTTACGCATTTGCATTGCATCAAATCAATAACAAAACTGGCAGTAAAACAGCCCCGACTTCGTGAATCGATCTTCACCATTATTGCCCCCCGATAACGCAAAACCTCACACTGCACAAGAATCCATGGTAACTCTACAGGAGCTGTAGTCAGAAACCATACGTCATCCTCCGTACTCACAAGACCTTGCTCTACCATTATGTTCGTGATTTTGATAATTTTATACGTGATAAAAATAAATCTTTCCAGAAGGCAGTACAAAATGCTTTTACACAGTTTTTCGAATCTATATCCCCAGAGTTCTATCGTAAAGGCATAAATGAACTTCCGTTTAGTTGACAGCAATGTATAGATAATGAGGGTATTTTGATTAAATAAACTTTTTTTTTTTTTTTTTCCGTGCGGAAATCCCCTCGGATACCACCTATCGGTGGCATGTCGGACTCGAACCGATTAAAACCGCACGCCGTCTCGGGTACTAATAGCCAGAGAACCAGGTAAACCCTAGAAAGGAAGTGCCTGGTGCCCCGACATACCTCGGGCCATCTACAGACGAGTAGACGACCCCCCCCGTGTGGAAACCCCATGTTCCCTCTGCTCTCCAGAAGCGAGCGCGCTTCGCAACGCGCTTGCCGCCACCCCGGCCTTCTTCTGCTAGGGTGAGAGATGGCCTCACCTGTCACCCCAGGCCTGCGCTTATGGAGGGCGGACGTCATTCTGCGTCATACTTTAACCCCTAATATTATTAAACGACTTCAAAAAGGAGAAGGTGCAATGTTCTACTGTATGTATATTTTTTACAGCTATCTTCTTTGTAGCTCTGCATTAAGAAGAAACTTCTTGTATTCCGTGTCTGTATTTGGTGACTCACCAGAGGCAGCCTGCAGACTGTGCCGGGCGGCCTTGAGCAGGCGGTGGCGGTGTCCGTAGGCGGCCACGCCCACCGCCCGCAGGTCCTCGTGCGACATCTCCGACAGGATGTCTACGGTGATCTGCTCGCGTTCCAGGGCCGCCGTCAGCTGTTCTAGCCCGATACTGAGGAGAGATGAGTATAGAAACATACACTTATTATTATTTTTGTCTTTATTTACGAAGCTTAACCACAATGAAGACTACGTCGCTCCATCATAGCCATTTTTTGTTTTAAACTTTACTTAAATATTGAAAATACAAAGTATAAATAACATTAGCTGTATCTGTCAAAGGACTGGCCAGGATGCTGTTACATCTTCCAATGTCCATCCAACTTATCATTAAGCAGGCGTTCTCTCAGTTGTTGGTTCCGAACACATTCCATCAAAACATGTTCTACGCCCTCTTCCACACCACAGGTCTCACAATTTGGCGTAGATGATAAACCATTTATCAATAATTAACTTTTAAAAGGTACATCATGATTTTTTTAAATAAATTGTATTTTTCATTTCTTTGAAGAAAGAAAAATAATTAGAACCTTAAAAATGGTAATAAATTCTGTTTTACATCATCATCATCATCAGCCGTGGCCCACTGCTGGACATAGGCCTTTACATAATCTTATTAAAATATAAAAGACCATGGAAAACTACACTATCGTCTAATTAATGCAATATAGTTTACAATTTCGTCACTAGATGGCGACACAGGATTACTATTTTAGTATAACTAGGAAATTACTAATTAAGTTATGGTGACTTTCATATATCACAAAAAACATATTTCAACGCCATCTAACGAAGAGACACCGAATAACTGAATAACTACTAATATTGCATCGCGCAATGAAATTTCTCGTGGCAATTAGTATTTATACAAGTACATGTATACAAGTTTCCAACAATAACAGTCGGGACACGGTCCACCACCAACAACTCGTCAGGTCCGAGGATCTCCCTTTGTATTGGAGGGGCATGAGACCCATTCCTAGTCAAAATAAATTGGTACAAATCACAGCCTTGTTACTATAAAAGCAGGAAAGCCTCGACCTGATAACCACGGCTTCATAGAAAACCGGTGTTTGGCAATTTTTCGATCCTTTTTACCTAGTGAGTGAGGTTAACAGAGCCCAAACCTCATCTCCCCCTGTTTTTGGAGGGGAAGAATATGGGATGAAAGTACTGTCCTCGTATCCTAGGTCTAGCAAATTAGGACAACAGCACTGTAAAGAGAAGTAAAGCTTGAATTAAACCCTATACCAACCCGTCTGGCCAGCGTGGTATAGAAGGCCAAAAACCTCCTTTCTAAGGAGAGGCCTATGTCCAGCAGTGGACTATTAAAGGATGATGATCCCAGGTCTAAATTGAACGGTTCGTTGTGATCTTCTCAATATATAAGTTAGATAATACTGGGTATTCAGGGTATTCTCTGTCCGTTATGCTGTTCTTTATTCTAGCAGTACTCACCCAGTTAGGAAGGTCTGTAAAGACTCCGAGGTGGACAGCGCTGATGCTGGTCTACCCGCAGCGTCTTCTAAGCTGCCTCGGGAGCCTTCGGCCCAATAGTTGCTGGGCATTACCTACACATTAAAAAATATATTTTCCAATCACCAATGATATCCATAAAAATAAAACGGTTTTTTTTTTCATTGTTTAAAAAGACAACTCTCGCACTAGGAATATATCCTGTGTCGCGAAGAACTTCACAAAAATACATGAAACAACCAATCAGAACATCAATTTGTGGAACACACAAGTATTGTCCCGTATGGGGATCGAACCCACAACAATCCGCGAAGTAAGAAACGGAAAGGTGACCGCTTAAACCACTTCACCATCCGTGCAGTAATCTTATTTCTATTTTATAAGGACTTACCGGTAAAGCTAACGGCACAGTGTCTCCACTCGGCATGAGTATTGGCATGTGAGGGGGAGGCAGTGGCGGCGGGAGTGGGGCGGCTGCTCCAACCTCGCCCGCTGCTGACGTCATGGCGTCCTGCAGTAGAGAGCGGACATCTTCGGCGCCGGCCAGGTCTAGTGCGGTCTGACCTTCTTGGTTCTTGAGGTAAGGATCTGCGCCGTGGGCGAGCTTGGAAGAAACAAATAAAAAACGTTTTGTCTACTGATGTAAATATTCAATACTAGGTATAGGTGAAGCCCCAGCGGTCGGGGCGGGGGGGAGGTGGGGCGGGTGCTCACCAGCAGCGCGCAGAGCTGCGTGCGCGCCTTGTGCGCGGCCTCGTGCAGGGGGGTGAAGCCCCAGCGGTCGGGGCGGGGGGGGGGTGGGGCGGGTGCTCACCAGCAGCGCGCAGAGCTGCGTGCGCGCCTTGTGCGCGGCCTCGTGCAGGGGGGTGAAGCCCCAGCGGTTGGGGCGGGGGGGAGGTGGGGCGGGTGCTCACCAGCAGCGCGCAGAGCTGCGTGCGCGCCTTGTGCGCGGCCTCGTGCAGGGGGGTGAAGCCCCAGCGGTCGGGGCGGGGGGGGAGGTGGGGCGGGTGCTCACCAGCAGCGCGCAGAGCTGCGTGCGCGCCTTGTGCGCGGCCTCGTGCAGGGGGGTGAAGCCCCAGCGGTCGGGGCGGGGGGGAGGTGGGGCGGGTGCTCACCAGCAGCGCGCAGAGCTGCGTGCGCGCCTTGTGCGCGGCCTCGTGCAGGGGGGTGAAGCCCCAGCGGTCGGGGCGGGGGGGAGGTGGGGCGGGTGCTCACCAGCAGCGCGCAGAGCTGCGTGCGCGCCTTGTGCGCGGCCTCGTGCAGGGGGGTGAAGCCCCAGCGGTCGGGGCGGGGGGGAGGTGGGGCGGGTGCTCACCAGCAGCGCGCAGAGCTGCGTGCGCGCCTTGTGCGCGGCCTCGTGCAGGGGGGTGAAGCCCCAGCGGTCGGGGCGGGGGGGAGGTGGGGCGGGTGCTCACCAGCAGCGCGCAGAGCTGCGTGCGCGCCTTGTGCGCGGCCTCGTGCAGGGGGGTGAAGCCCCAGCGGTCGGGGCGGGGGGGAGGTGGGGCGGGTGCTCACCAGCAGCGCGCAGAGCTGCGTGCGCGCCTTGTGCGCGGCCTCGTGCAGGGGGGTGAAGCCCCAGCGGTCGGGGCGGGGGGGAGGTGGGGCGGGTGCTCACCAGCAGCGCGCAGAGCTGCGTGCGCGCCTTGTGCGCGGCCTCGTGCAGGGGGGTGAAGCCCCAGCGGTCGGGGCGGGGGGGAGGTGGGGCGGGTGCTCACCAGCAGCGCGCAGAGCTGCGTGCGCGCCTTGTGCGCGGCCTCGTGCAGGGGGGTGAAGCCCCAGCGGTCGGGGCGGGGGGGAGGTGGGGCGGGTGCTCACCAGCAGCGCGCAGAGCTGCGTGCGCGCCTTGTGCGCGGCCTCGTGCAGGGGGGTGAAGCCCCAGCGGTCGGGGCGGGGGGGAGGTGGGGCGGGTGCTCACCAGCAGCGCGCAGAGCTGCGTGCGCGCCTTGTGCGCGGCCTCGTGCAGGGGGGTGAAGCCCCAGCGGTCGGGGCGGGGGGGAGGTGGGGCGGGTGCTCACCAGCAGCGCGCAGAGCTGCGTGCGCGCCTTGTGCGCGGCCTCGTGCAGGGGGGTGAAGCCCCAGCGGTCGGCGGCGTTGGGCGGCGTGCCGGCGCGCAGCAGCAGCGCGGCCAGCTCCACGTGCCCGTACGACGCCGCGTTGTGCAGCGGCACCAGCCCGCCCTTGTCGCGCGCGCCCACCAGCGCGCCCGCCTCCAGCAGCGCCTCCGCCACCTCCAGGTTGTTGTAGCCCGCTGCAACCGGACATCCCTTATGTCATGTCGTCTCAAGAATTCCCGAGTAAATGGTCTCAGTGTCAGAAAAATGTGGTCATATTTTGAAGTTACGTAGATAAAATTGTGAATTTGAATACTCAAAGAGACTTAACAAAATTTCTTTGAAAATGAATACACGAACTCACCAGCTAAATGTAACGGCGTGGAGTTCCTCCCGTGCGAGTCTCTGCAGTTAACATTTTGAGGCGTTATTAGTTTTCTGAAACAAATACCACATTCGTTTTAAGGAACTAGAATGGTCCTTTGAGCCGAAGTCTTTATTCTTTAAAATAATATTTTATTGGAGTCGCGACCTTGAAATCCTATACCCAATCTATAAAATACTTTCTAGTACAGTGTTGTTTTATGCAAATGCGTACTTATAATTATTAGGAAAATAATATATAATATTTAAAATGGTCCTTTGAGCCAGGTTCAACTTGAATTCTTAAAAAAGATGAAGGTCTTTCAATTTACTAAACTAACTATTATAGGGCTAGACTAAAACATAAAACAAGGCATGACTAACGGTAAGCTCTTACCGGTGCCTAAAAGCACTTACACCACCATAGATGGATATGGGTTCCTCTAAACGAATGGGGAATGAAAACAGTATATTAAGGAATATTACCTAGCTCTGGCGAGATCTCCTCTCTTCGCCGCGTCCAACAAGGCAGCGTCTCCTCGCAGAGCGTCCGCAGTATCACAGTCTCCCGCTCGGACCAACTGAAGAGGAGTTAGTCCATCACGGTTCCGTCGACTCGGGTCAGCACCATGCTGGGAAATAAAAGAGAGAATGTAAAACGAGACATGATCACTAGAACTGATCTGAAGATTATCTCTTTGTGTTGGAGGAATTTGATCCATGACTGTTTGTGTGATAAATGATATTTATTTCTGTAATTTTATCTTGCCAGATATTTTTACAAGTCGGACTTTACAGCTAGAAGGAGTCGGATGTGTGTATATGTATATGTTTCATTGTGTCAGTAACCCTGTGTTTGTATGTATACAAGGTGGTCCAACAACCTCATAAAGGTCGCCGGAAGTGGTTGTGGAAACTTTGGAGGAGGCCTGAGTCCAGCAGTGGACGTCTATCGACTGAGATGATGATGTGTAGACATAAGTGTGTATGAGAGTCAATAAACTTGAGCTGTCTGATTGTGTATAATTAAGTTAAGCGAGTATGAGCCAACAGACTGACAGACAAGCACTTGGAAAGTATGTACAGTAGAATTTTAATTTAAAAAAACTGGTATAACCTCCCAGAATTAGAGGGAAGAGATCCGGTATTAAGGGGATGGGAAATTTAATTCCATTTTGTACATACCTTGAGCAGAAGCCGGACGATATCAGCCTTCCCCTTGGCGGCGGCCTCGTGCAGGGGCGTGAACCGCCACAGGTCGTGAGCGTTGACGCCTGCGCCCGCGCACACCAGCAGCTCCGTCACCTCGTAGTGACCGTACGAGCACGCGTTGTGCAGAGGCACCAGACCACTGAAGAATATGAACACATTAGCTTATTCCCGCTGCATCTGTAGAAATTTTTCACATTCACACATACGAGTCAGTCGTAGTGGTGGAGGTCATCAACATTTAATGGTCCACTGCTGGACACGTGCCTCTCTTTAGAAAGGAAGTTTTGACCTACTATACTACGCTAGCCAGACGGGTTGGAATAGCGTTTGTGTTGTGTCAAGTTTTCCTTCTCTTTGCAGTATTGTTTGTCCTGCGTAGTTTGCTTAGTAGGCTCTTACGACATCCAAGGGATGAATAGGGGTGGTGACACTCCGAATTCTTAATCTGTCGCCACACAGACAAGGACGGTGGAAGTCATGGGTTTAATTCGTACCCAGGACAAATAATTGTGTGATGAGCACGATCATTCTATTGTCTGGCTATAATTTATTTAAAATATGTATGTATTTAGAAATATATAAGTATGTTTATCAGCAGTTTGGTTACCATACTACAGGCTCTGCCTAATTTGGGATCAGACGGCCGTCTGTGAGATGCGTCCAGTTATAAAACTTATAATTGTACAAATTTTAATAATCTTACCCCTTGTCTTTGGCATGGACATCGGCACCTCTTTGTAGCAGCAGTTGAGCAAGGGGCAGTCTATTGTATCTATAATTAATAACATTAAAACAGATTAATAACAGCACAACCATAGACAATTTAAAAATATATTTTTTTGTACTCTCCAGGTGTTACCTGGCTCGGCCTCATCGGCTAGGCAGGCTGAAGACAGAAGTGGCCCCTATTCAGGGGTATCGGAAGACTGCTGGCAGGTGGTTATTGCCTCGAACCAGCGTCCCCTCGAAGTCAGTGGATAGTACAATGGGTACTCACCCCGCGGCGAAGTGTAGAGGAGTGGAGTGACGGCCGTCCACGTCGCGGCAGTTGACGAGGCGGGGCCGCGCGTCCAGGATGGAGCGCGCGCCCTCCACGTCGCCCGTGCGCGCCGCCTCCAGCAGCCTCAGGGCCGCCGCGTTCGCGCACGCGTCTGGACAACAATAGTGGGACACTCTTAGAAACAGTCTTGTGACCTGAACAGAATTCTGCTGACTGGACAAGTGACAGAAATGCCACCCAACATAGCTGAACAATTATTTTCAGACTTAACTTGCAATGGCAACACAACTATTGTTTCTTTGCATCGCTGATCTTGTTTATGGCTAGACCTAAGGTCTGGGTCCGATCATGACCATGCCGTGAAGCTATTTTTGTCCAAAAGCTGGCCGGTTATAAACCGAGAAATGCGGTATATATATTTAAGCCGCGGTAAGTATTAAGGCGTTGGACTTGCGATCAAAAGGTCGTGGGTTCAAATCCTGACCAGTACTCTAACGACGTGAATCCACTCCTAACTCAAACAATTTAGCTTAGCAGGAGAGGTTAACGGGAATACTAGTAATTTCGGTTGCTAGTAGAACTTAAAAAAGAACAAAATGCCTACCGAAATCCGTGATTAGAAATTCTGCCCACCTTGCGACATTATTTATACACTTTAGTTCTTTATGGGTTCGCAAAATCACTGTCAGAGTTCATTGATAGACAGAATTACAATTTGTGAAGAAGTTTTGCTGCAAACAGCAGGGCAAAGACATACTACAAAGCGTAGTTTTATTCGATTTATTCATTACTAGCTTGGGGACTTCGTCAACACATCCCTTTTTTTTTCCGTGCGGAAATCCCCTCGGATACCACCTGTCGGTGGCATGTCGGACTCGAACCGACTAAAACCGCACGCCGTCTCGGGTACTAATAGCCGGGGAACCAGGTATACCCTAGAAAGGAAGTCCCTGGTACCCCGACATACCTCGGGTCATCTACAGACGAGTAGACGACCCCCTCCCGTGTGGACCCCCTCCCGTGTGGTGTCAACACACCCCTGACTTTTGACAAAAAAAAACAGTACAAAACCAGGTCATTTAAATTTACCACTCTTAGTTTTTTTAATTAGTCAAAATTTCTAATTCTAACAAGTTCTTGAGCGTTTGCAGGCACTATTAAGAATGCTTAATTTAATATACATGGCCTTCATTACGTAATTTGAATAAAACCGTTAAAGCAGATTCTGAGATGTGCAAAACATAGGTATTTTTTAAATATATAAAGTCCCTGTTTAATAATTCATTTTCCATCACTCACCGTCAGGTTGAGGGTACAAGGCGTCAGGAGTGGTGTCAGCTCCGCACGCCAGCAGGAGACGGCATGCGGCAGCAGAATCCCTTCTTGCCGCCACCGCCAGAGCTGATGAGCCTCGTCCATCGCAAGCGTTTACTTTGGCACCTGAGAACACAAACAACATGTAAAAATTTCATCTGCTGTCTAAAAAATCCCTTCGAAGATTAAAAGAACGAATTTTACTTAAGAACATGGTCAATCTTTATTTACTAACATTTATGAATCAGATAAAAAGAACACCCAGACTCAGAACAACAATTTGTGGATCACACAAAGTTTTGTTCCATGGGGGAATCGAACTCACAACACACAGCGCAGTGGGAAGCGGCGGCGGCGTGGCGACCGCTTAAACCACCACGCCACCCGTGCAGTTGTTCATGGTTAAAAATTATTTCCTAAAAACACTAACAAAACTTTACCGTGTCTCAATAAGAGATCCATGGCATCGAGGTGGGCGTGCTCCGTCGCCACGTGCAGAGGGGTCTGACCTTCCTTGTTCTTCTCGTTGACACGAGCGCCTTTTCTGATCAGCATTTCCATAACCTGGACACAATAATAACAATGATAACTTCACACATCTCACACACGGCCGTCTGATTCCAAACTAGGCAGAGCCTGTACTATGGTAACCAGACTGCTGATAAACATACTTATATATTTCTAAATATATACATCATCAATGATGACTATACTGCAAAGGGAAGGAAAACTTAAAACAAACCCAATACCAACCCGTCTGGCTAGCGTGGTATATAGTAGGCCAAAACCTCCTTTCTAAGGAGAGGCCTATGTCCACCAGTGGTTTCTTAAAGGCTGTTGATGATGTTGATAAAACTGTACAGAAAAAATATTTTAGGCCAATAAGTGTGTACCTGTTTCCGCTTGGGGTAGACGCTGGCGGCGGCGGCGTGCAGCGCGCGGTCCCCGGAGCCCACGTGCTGGAAGTTCACCAGCGCCTCCGCCCCGCACTCGCCGCCCAGCGACTGCGTGCTGCCGCTCGTCGACGCTTGCGAGCTCTGCTGGCAAACAACCACTGTATCAGGTCCTGGACGGAAGACTGTACTTTCCTTCTTAGTATCTTTTCTTCGTCGTAGTGACGGAAGTACGTGTAGTGACGGATTAAGAATACGGAATGTCACTACCCCAATTCATCCCGTGGGTGTCGTGAGAGCCGACTAAAGGCGCAAAACAACGCAGGACACCAGCACTGCAAAAAGAAGGAAAACGTGACACAAACCCTATACCAACCCGCCTGGCCAGCGTGGTGTAGTAGGCCAAAACCTTATTTCTAAGGAGAGGCCTATGTCCAACAATGGACTATTAAAGGCTGTTGATGGTCTTTTCTATGATACAGGAGACAAACAAGCTGATAGGTCATCTGATAGAAAGTGACTACCATCGCCTATGAACGCTTGCGACTCATTACTTACAAGCGCATTGTGGACCTTTAAGGTGAGAGTATCTTAGAGTTAGGTTATCAGAAAACATTTAGCAAGACTAAACAATACTTGCATATAACGTATTACAGCTGCCATATTTGATTTGGCCAATGAGATACGCTGTGATGTACAGGTACTGGTAACAGTATACCATCAGGTAAACCATATGTTTACCATATATCTTCTTTAAGCAGGATGACTTCTTTGCACTGGTTTCACAAACTTTTTTTGGTATGTAAACCACTACCACACACACACACACACAAGGGCTTACTGTTGGTCTCTAAGTGCACTGATCACCTGGAAAAGTAAGTCCTCGTAAATCCTGGTTAACTTCTGCCACTTTGAACACCTGAAATCCTAAATATATACAGACAGAAGATGCTCCTCACCTGGTGTTGATGACCAGAGGCTGCTGAGAGCTGCTTCTTAACCCTCGCGGGTTCAGCCAGTCTGCAAGCTTCCAGCAAACAGTGACCACGGTATTCAACTGTAACAACAAACCCTAGTTATGGAACAGCTTCAGAGAGACGTGATCATATTAGAGAGCAGTCTTATCTTATTTTATTATTATTTTATATATTTTATTATCTTAGTGTTTTAGGTACTTACAAGCCAATCTCTCCTGCAGTTCTCTGGTGGGTGCTACATCCAGGGCTGATTTCCCATGGCAATTGAGCAAAGTGGGGTCCGCACCTTCGCTCAGGAGTAACGAACATACCTAAGAACAAAGAGATTTTCAAGATTGTACTAATTTATAAAAAGTGTTTTGTTATGGCATAGGGGGGCAAAGGATCTCTGTCGGGGTGCCAGGGATTTCCTAGGGTAAACCTGGTACCCCGGCTACTGAAACCCGAGACGGAGAGCGGTGTTTGGTCGGTTCGAGTCCAACATAACCACCGGTAGGTGGTATCCGAGGGTTTCCGCACGGATAAAAAAGAGGGGGGGAGGGGAATAGGATCAAACGGTCATCTGATGGCAAATAACTACCGGCGCCCATCTACAGTTGCAACTCAAGAGTCACAAATTCGTTGCCGGCCTTCAATCTTTTCCCTCAGAATCAAGGGGGTGGAAGAGGGTTTGGACTCTGGTAATGTTGCTCGCTATATGAAAAGCAATGAAAGAACTGCTTAACACCTGTTTTCTGTTAGCCCTGGTATCACTCCTCCTTATATATGCCTGAATAGCGTTTATATTTTTGGTCAGTTAACGGATGAGCACACAGTTATGTTTAAGCTGATGTATATATGGGTCATCCGTGTGGTGACCAATTAAGAATACGGAGTGTCGACGACTAGGGAGCAAACTCTGCAGGACCACAGCACTGCAAAGAGAAGGAAAACTTAAAACAAACCCTATACCAACCCGTCTGGCCAGAATAGTACAGTAGGCCAAAACCTCCTTTCCAAGGAGAGGCCTATATCCAGCAGTGGACTATTAAAGCCTGAAGATGATGATATATAGATACCTCGAGCCTGGCCTTGCTGGCGGCCTCGTGGAGGGGAGTGAAGGCCCACAGGTCTGTCGCGTTCACGTCAGCGCCAGCTCGCACCAGTAGCTCCGTCACCTCGTAGTGCCCGTACGAACACGCGTTGTGCAGAGGCACCAGACCACTGAGGGGGGAAATTTACCCAAGATAAGTTCACATACCTCACACACTACCATCTAATTCCATTTTAGGCAGAGCCCGTTCTATGATAATCAGACTGCTGATAAACACACTTATATATCACTAAGTACATACATATATTATAGATAAATGGTATAGTGCGGTACGCGACTGCAGTCCATGAGGCCCCAGGTTCGATTCCCGGACCGGGCAAATTTTGTAGGATTTTTCTAAGAGGAAAAATAGCCTTAGTTATTCCTTATATAGACAGTTACCTGGCAGTAAAATATTATCAAACTCGGTACTGCCGTTTTGAAGATTACCCGGAACAAACAGACAGACAAAAATATGAGAACTGATTTTTAGGCATAGATATCATGCAAATAACCGTGTGAGTATGAAAAACTAATTATTTTGACATTACAAACAGAATTAAATTTTATTTATTTGTATAGATTTCACCTACACAGAATTATTTCACTGAGTAATGACACTCAGGAAGCCCTAGAAAAAATTAAACTGTCTCGGAACCCGCAATAGAATTTATCAGAAGAAAATCGTTGGAAATATAATAAATACACTTCCCTCCTTCACCAAGCAGGTGGCAAAATGAAGTAAATATAGTTATACACCCTTTTAAACAGGAAAACACCATCCTAAGTGAGCAATAATTAGCTTGTTTAATGTCTTATATTCCAATTTACCCTTTATCCTTAGCGTGGACATCCGCCCCCCTCTGCAGCAACAGCCGGACCGCCCTGGCCCTATTGTACCCTGCAGCCAGGTGTAAGGGAGTGGAACGTCTCCCGTCACTGGCGTGTACGTTAACGTTGAGGGGTGTGAGGAGGGAGGCGAGACGATCATCTGCGCCTGATCTAGCTGCTTCTAGAACGTCCGCTGCGCAGTATTCACCTGGAAACAAAATAAACTTTAAATAATAATAACATCACACATCTCACACACTGCCGTCTGATCCCAAACTAGGAGGAGCCTGTACTATGGTAACCAGACTGCTGGTTTACATGGTTATATATTACCAAACATCTCATATATAAAATTCTCGTGTCACAATGTTCGTTCCCGTACTCCTCCGAAACGGCTTGACCGATATTCATGAAATTTTGTGTGCACATCGGGTAGGTCTGAGAATCGGCCAACATCTATTTTTCATACCCCTAAATGGTAAGGGTGACCCATCCCTAATTTTTTTTTGTTTTGCAATACAACGCTTGCCGGGTCAGCTAGTATTATAGATAAATTACACCCAGACACAAAAGAAATGACCGCGCTCATCGTAATTATTTGTCCTGGGTGGTAATCGAACCCACAACCTACATAGATTTAAATTAATTTTATTTATTAAAGGCCCGCAAACAATTGTTTAAATTTTTACAAATACATCTAATATTTTCGAGCATTTTTTTTTTTTGATAAAAAGACAACTGACGCACTAGGAATAAATCTTGTCGCGGGGGACTTTACAAACATACATGAAACAGACACAAGGAACACCCATCACACAAAATGTCGTCCCATATGGGGTTTAACCCACAACACTCGGCGTAGTAGGAAGCGGCGTGGCGACCGCTTAAACCACTACGCAGTACGTGCAGTCAAAATATCGTAGTAATTACTGGACAGACACAGCATATATTTATTAAGAGATTCTAAGCAGTCTATCGCAGTCTTCTAAGACTATAAATGTACCATATTCTTAAAAATAACCTTGCTAGATAGATACTAGATATTTTGTTAAAAGACAGATAGATTTGAATTGATGATAAGACAATAGTATACCTGTCAAAACAGGTCTGGTAGCGGTGTCAGCTAGATCGAGTGGAGTCTTGCCTTCAGTGTTGCGGATGTTGGGGTCGGCGCCGTGCTGTAGAAGTGCTGGTAAAAAAAAAACAGTTATTTATAATTATGTCACGACATTATCTAAAAAAAAAGATGATACGATACTTAACGCGAGCAAAACCGCGATTAAAAGGCTGTATGAAGATAGTTATAATATAGTAATGGTTATCATTATCATCGTCAACAGCCTTTAATAGTGGCCACTGATGGGCATAAGCCTCTCCTTAGAAAGGAGGTTTTAGCCTACTATACCTATGTTTATGTATGCGTATTATCGGAAGATCGTAATGGCTTATGACCACGGTTAGTGCAGGCTGATTGCAACATTAGGCAATTTTATGATAATACCTAGGCAGTAATTATTTCTGATATGCCAAATTAATAAAACATTTACGTTTTTTTCTTTTCAAAAAGACAACTCGCGCACTAGAAGTATATCCTCTGTCGCGGGGGATTTTACAAACACACATGAAACGGACACAAAATTCACCCAGTCTCAGAACAACAATTTGCGTATCACACAAAGTGGGGATCGAACATACAACACTTAGAGCGGCGAGGTGACCGCTTTAACCGCTTAAACACACACCATCCATGCAGTCGACTAATAACTAACAGAATAATGTTGATTTCGTTTTATAATAATAATAATAACCTCACACATCTCACACACGGCCGTCTGTTCTCAAACTAGGCAGAACCTGTACTAAGGTAACCAGACTGCTGATAAACATACTTATATATTTCAAAATACATACATATTATTTTAAAAAAAACACCCAAACACAGAACTATTGATCGTGCTCAGCACACAATAATTGAATTAAACGGGAATCGAACCCACAACCTCCGGCTAAGCAGTCAGGGTTACTAATTTAATGTTAAACAGTTTAAATGCTATATCTTTCCTTACCAATACACACATCGACTTTCCCCTTCGCGGCTGCTTCATGCAAAGGTGTGTAACCCCAGTTATCTCTGGCCGCGGGCGCTGCACCGGCCCCTAGCAGAGCCCTAACGACATCCGCATGACCGAAGGAACAGGCGTTATGTAAAGGCTGCAAACCACCATCGTCTCGAGCTTGGAGAGCTGCTCCAGCCGCTATAAGAATCTCCACAACTTCCCTGCGTCCGTATCCTGGAAGTACAAAAGTTATGGTGTAATAGTTTTTAAAGTGAAAACTTTTTCAGAGCCGAGTGCATTCGACCGTCGCAAGCGACCTAATTGGTTTATTTCCAAAAACAGTTTTTACAGATGTAGTGAAAAAACAGGCTATTTTAAGTACTATACTAAACTCATACCTTTTCTTTTTAAGCTATTTTAAGAAAGAGTATCTCAACTGAATTATTTTTGTAATGTTACTCGATTTCTTCGCCCTTTGTACATCAATTTTCCTTTATTCAATTTCATTTATTTACTAAACTGTATTCAATCATTCTTTTTACCTGACTGCAATTTTTCGAGTGTGTGTATTATGTGTGTATCTACTCTACACCTTACCCAATATAGGCTCTGAGCGGATGGGAGCGAGACACTTCGTTCCAACTGGGGGTCCATAAATTCTTACGCCGTTTCTGTTATACAATAGTTCTTGTAGTAAAGAAACCGCCAAACCACAGATTTTGAGTTTGAGTTTTGGGTTTGAGGTTTGAGTTTGTGAGTTTAAGGCTTGTTGATTCAGGGCGTGTTTGTTGAGAGGCTTGGCTCTACATGAGATCAGAAAGCCAATTCTCATAATAAAAGTTCGGTCGAAATTCAGTTCCTATCAGCTCTCGATCACATCAACAGCCTTTAATAGTCCACTGCTGGACATAGGCCTCTCCTTAGTAAGGAGGTTCTGGATCTCGCAACTGTCATATATATATCTATATATATATATAAGAGATTTTCACGTATATAGTGACTCATCACGATATCTCTGGAACCATTAGAGCTAAAGACTTAAAATTTGGTAGGAATATTCTTTTCACCGAGTAGAAGTCAGCTAAGAACGGATTTTAAGAAATTCAAAAAGAAAAAAAATAATTAAATAATGTAAATAGCAAAACAACGTTTGCAGGGTCAGCTAGTTATATATTTAATAGTTTAATATTATAGATATTTTTGTGATAAAATAGTAAAGTATTACTAAGACTAGAAGATTACTGACTCAGTTTTCGGTTACAATACGATATAATCACATTACAGTCAATGTTGGACGTTTAATACTTTACTACGAAAATAATTATGACAGCGGTGAGATCAAGATATGATTGGAACTGAAATGTCATGTTCTGATAACTTTTTGAGAGTGCGCGCCATATGGTCTGGTTTTGGCAACATTTTACATGAAAATGTTTTTGGTGGGATGTTTATTTCTTTGACACGCTCTGTAGCCTAAACTTCTTCATGGATTGTGTCGTCAGTTTCGTGTATCGTAATTTCTTGTAATCTTCAGTACCTACACATTTTCACGCATTCGGGTTTTTTAATAGTTAGCTAGTTTTTTTTTTGTTTTTGACGTGACAACGTCTTATAATTCGATGGAGCCGGCTGCACGCACGAAAAAACATGACTCATGCGGCGTTACCTCGCTCTGAGGCGTTCCATTTAAGGCGTGAAGTGCAAGCGAGAGCGCGAAACGAGTGACAAAGAGGCACAATCGGCCTCCGCGTTCGGCAGCGTTCGACATCTGTCTCTCCTACTTGAGTGAGCGATGCGTCCGCGTGGACAGCTGCTACTCGTATACAATAATACATTTTGAACAATGCAACCATTCCATCAGTATTTTCTTATGACGTTGTCACGTTCAACTATCGTCAGTAAACCGACTTTACAGACAACCGTTTTTTTTTTTCTATGTTAGTGGGAGCAGACGAGCAGACGGGTCACCTGATAGAACGTGACTATCGTCGCCCATGATCGTCTGCAACTCAGGAGTCACAAACGCGTTGCCAGCCTTTTAGGAAGGAGTACGCTCTTTTCTTGAAGGTTTGAAGGTCGTATCGGTCCGGAAATACTCGAAAAACGCACAGTAGTGGAGCGCCAACTATCCAGGTAATGAGGATGAAAATTTTGCCGTGTGGAACGATGGCGGAAATTTGGTGATGGTGGTCTTAGTCCGAACAATTCCTCGGAGCACTCTCCATGATACATGCGATAGAGAATGCAGAGTGAAACCACATCTCTACGTAACGCCAAGGGATCAAGCCGATCGGAGATATTTGTTAAATAGATTTTTTAAAATTGATTTAGCTGTATTCAAGGTTTGGTTAATTTGGTTCGGATTTCCGTGTGCAATTTCAATGTCTAAAATAAACAGAAATCCCCATGACTCAGCCGACAGCAATGCTTTAGCAAAAACGTAGGTTGGTTAACAAGATAAGCAGAGATAAAACGTTGAAGATTATTACCAAAATTTTGGCTTTTTCCCCCTTTTTGAGCGTAGTAGTATAAAAATATGAAATTATGATTTGTTACTTTTGAATTGTAGACATTAAGAAACCGAAGAAGAGTAAGAAAGAGGCCGTTACGCGGCGTTTTGGATATGATATCACCCTAATACAAAGTTATACAATAAATGAGAAAGTGAGTTTGTTTGTTTGTGTTTCACGCCTAAACACCCATTTCGATTTTAGAAATTCTTTCACCAATTGAAAGCTACATGATCAGCAATAACCAACATACAAGCGGGCGGAGTCGCAGGCAAAACATAGTTTATAATAAAGAGCGTTAGTTTGCGAGTGTGTGTGTGTGTGTGTGTTACTTCTTCAAGCTCCAACGTGGCTGGACCAGTTTTGATAAAATTTAATATGGAGGTAGCTGACACATTGGATTAATACATAGGCTACTTTTTATCCCGTAAAAATGTAGTGTTCCCGTGAGATGTATTAGTGTATCTATAAACGGAGGGGCACTGTTAGTAATAGTATAATAATGAACTCAGTACAATTTTTAAGCTTTTATGTTTCTTCTAATTAGTTTTTAATTAAAAGTGCCTTTCAATAATTAGATTTAAATCTTTTTTCAATTATCAAATAGAAATCAGTGCCAAGGTTTATTTAAAAAACGAAGAACAATGAAAAATATAAAATGCTTAGTTAAATTTTACTCAATTATGGCTGACATTATGTACATTTTTTACGTAACTGCTGGTTTTTACAACGGAGTACAATGTTGCCAGGAGTCATGTGTATATGTGAATCTCTTTATATCAACCTAATTTCTACATACCTTAACAGATTTACAATGAATTTAGATAGATAGATAAATACTTTATTTGTACACCAGGGTTTTACAGACATTATAAAGTAATTAACAACAGATGTAATGTACAAAGGGGGGCCTTATCGTTTAGTGCAATTTCTTCCAGGCAACCTTTGGATGGATTCATTTTGAACTTGTGATAGGAATACATAAATTAAAGAAGTAAATAAAGAAGTAAATTTAACCTATGAAATATTTTTTTTATACATGAATTTAGTTTTTTGTAAAAAAAATATGGCATCAATATTGACTAAACCATCCCCCAATTAGAGGGAAGATGGGGTTTGGATTCCCGGTCATCTCACTGACTTGGTGAAAAAGAAAGAATTGTTTAGTGTTGGATTTCTGAGAGACTGTGTCATCAATCTGGTCCAGCCAGCCTATTTGTGCCAGACTAAGGCTCTCCTACAGTAACATGTATCTGGAACTGGCTATTACCGGACATATTCTGTTTATATTTAATCGTAATATAGGAAAATATGCATACAGAAAAGTCAAAAATATTAGCAAGAATTTATAAATAACACTAATACACTTTATTAGTACAGTTGGATAAACAACTACTACAATGACTAAATAAAAATTAATATTATTTTCATTCTTAGTGTTAAAACTGGAGGTGTATCTCACTGGTTTTAAATTAAAATAGAGTGACAAAGACAGCATAAATAACAGTTCAAGAAGTTGTTGGATAAAGTTTTAAAGATTGTATGGCTTTAAGTGGCAACCATATTGTTGGCATAGACTGGCCTGTTGTTATGCGATCCTTACAGCTAAGCCAGAGGTAGTGGGTTTGATTCCTACCCTACTACTGTTATTAAGATATTGGTTCTTTATCAATCAGTACAAAATACACAATGACTAAAGAGCTAGATTTTAGAGGTTTTATTAATAATGGATAAATGGATGGGAATATTAACAACATGACAAATATAACTCGGTAGATTCAAACCCAAAACCTTTTGATAGGAAATTTAATTTTTTAACACTTATAAACCCAAACTACGATTTTTAATATTATAAACATTATTAAAAATTTAGTAAATAAAAAAATCAAATAAATGTTTGCAATACCTTACCTTTTTAATTAAAATTATTGCACTGGCATACAGATGCCAACACAATTGAAATTGCACAAGTCACGCTTCACTCAGTATTTTAAATTGAAAATAAAAATAAATGTTATCTGTGACCTTTTTTTTTTAAATTTAAACAACTCAAAGCACAGGCATATCCAACTACATGAGCCTTTCAAGTAGCCCACATTTTTTTTCAAAAATTTTTTTACATTAATTTTTAGTTTTAATTAAAATCAAATTCAGTTTACAGTTATTGTGCCGTGATGATAAACAAGTTGAAAATTAATAGACCGTGTCACCTAGTTACATTTACCAGATTTTGGGTGCTTTGCAAAATAACATTCATAATAAAATTACATAACAAATACATTAATGAAACACAACAAAAGACATAAAACACGAAACTCTAATCCACTAGCGTAACTAATTATGCAATTTTCAAAACTCACTACTTCCTACACAGGTGCAATGCAATCCTTTCACTGCTTTTGGAAAATCGTGTTTTCCTATGAAAATAATAGACTTAACATATGTTTTGAAAGTACGAATACCTGCAGCGAAGTGTAGAGGAGTCGATTTTCGTCCGGCTGTGTCCCTGGCATTCACCGTTTGGGGTGTAATTAACTTTTTTACACGGATTGCATCGCCCGTTTTGCACGCCTCAAATAATTCACGGAGCGGGTCTGTAGGCGGTGGTAGTGCGTCAAGCGCCGATCCGAGTATCGAACGACGGCTCGACATGGTGATTTCGCGTTTCACATTTAGTTTTCGTGTATTAAACACGCATTATCGTGATATTGTTAAATAAAAACACGTATATACACAGCTGCTTGCTAGCCTTTATTGACAATTTAATTTCAGGGTTACCGCTTCATTATTTGTAACTCACAGATAATGGCGAAGGCTAGCTATAGTCGTTTAAGACAATGCCAGAGTGAGAGGAATATATAAAAGTTAGCTAATAAAATGAGATGTAAGAGTTGAGGTTTTTTAGTCGTTCCTATCATCGTGTAGACTTTTATTATTTTATTAATTTTAATTGACAAATGCATAGTTATTTTTAATAAGGATTATTACCACCTATTTAATTTCACCAAAGTTTTCTATACTATGTACCAACTGTGTACTTCTAAGCTGTGTCCTCTTAATAAATAATGTTTAGCATGTATGTTGTTTCTTATCTTTCTAAATACATGTTTCAGATATTTTTACCTTACCGGTATTGTAAAAAGGCAAACAATAAATCACATATTACACACTTTTAGAAAAAAAACTGTTACAAAATTATAGACATATACATGAAAGTTAAATGCATTTTTACAACACCAGAGTTGCGTTTATTGTTTGATTTTAATTATAACCAGTAGTGATCTACTGAATAACCAGTAGATCTGGACGTTTACAAAATATAAATCGACAGCGAATGTAAGATTTTTTGTTAAAATAACATCTTGTGAATGAATTCTCATCATACTTTTTTATTAGTTCCCGGGTTTCTGGTCAGAGTAAAAGAGTTCCTATTTCTGTCACTTCTGTCAGTGTAAGAAAGGAGAGCAGAGGGTGCAATGTTGAATTGACAGCTTTGACAAGTCATTAAGTTTTTACCCAAGACGCAAATAGCACACTAGTTTTTTCATTTATAAAACGTAACATAACTAATAAAATGACCTTAAATGCACAAAACCACATTTAGTTTTACATAAAGGGTTTAGTTAGCTAATCTCTAATTTTTCAAAATTCAGATGAGATTTAACATTTTTTATGAGTAGCAAGTTCTCAGTTCCAATTTAAAAGTATACTATTAGGAGTAGTAAAAAAAAAAAAAGACAGACAAGATATAACAATTGACTTGACACTTACGCAGCCCTCTAATCTTAAACTAGACAGCCCTGTACAATTTAACCAGTCTGCTGATAATCATATATTATTAAATACACAAATTTTTATATTTGAAAAAAATTAGCTGAAGAAGAGTGGATTCCACATTCTGCCACTAATTATCCACCTTTAGCCAGATGGCCAATAAGCATACCTTTAGATGCTTACATATTTTTGATAAGCTACATCTAGACATAATAAGCAGGCAGAAAGGAGTACCTACTCCTGTCTGCCTTATTGTAATAAGTCGATGGTTCAATGTCTGTTAATTTCACAATAAGTGTTAACACAATGTCAGCACTGTTTATGAAATACTTATGAAGTTCTGCAATGCTGAGCTAACTGTGTTATTAGTTGTTTCAACATCAACAGCCTTTAATAATTGTATGTATTAATAATTTAATAGTAATGATAGTGGTATTTAATGGAAAGAAAAAAAAATAGACCACCGCTGGACATAGACTTTTCCTTAGAAAGGAGGTTTTGGCCTGTTATTCCACACTGGCTAGACGGTTTGATATAGGGTTTGTTTCAAGTTTTCCTTCTCATAGTAGTGCTGAGGGCCCCGTTAGTTTGCTCCTTTATTAGGCTCTTACAACACCCACAGGGAGAATAGGGGTGGTAACACTCCGTATTCTCAATCTGTCACCACATGAATAAGATTTTTGTTTACCTCTGTGCAAGTACAAAAAACTTTTTTAAATTGTTGCCAACTTAGTAATTTCCAAACCCTTTGAAACAGTCTTTACAGATATGTGAAAAATTAAGTACCATTTATACCTTCCAGGTCTACTTTCATTCATTCAGGCCGACCCCCAAATGGTCACAGTAATGGCAGTATGGAAATACAGCAAAATATTAATGGATTTCTTGGTACTTTTTTGAATATCTTTACTTCACAAATGAGAAAAAACCTGGACTTCAAGTGAAACATTACGTTATATGTTTGCTTTACATTTGTATTAAAATTGGTTAGTGAGATCTCTGACAACTAAAGAATAAAAGAAAAACCTACCTTGCCTACCACAATGTCACATGAACAATTTAATAATATACTAGCGAGCCGCCGACGACTTCGCCGGCTTCGTACGGGTGCAATGTAGATACTACTAATGTGGTGTAAGTGTGGAGGAATTAATTATACTATTATTATGATAAACTATACTACAGGACATCTTTATATGCAATATTCATAGACCCGCTCCGCTTCTGCCGGCGCTACCATCCGGTAAAGACATAAATCACAAATTTAAATCTCTGATCTACTAAGATATTTATTTTAATGACATGCTGTAAGAGGCAATTTTGATCTACATTAAATGCATAACGTATCAAACTTATTTATTTGGATAAGGTTACTGCGGGTTTTCCTTAGGAGATAGACCTTTTTTTTCCGGTTCGGAAGTCCTCTCGGATACCACCCATCGGTCGGATGGTTATGTCGGACTCGAACCGACCAAAAACCACACTCCGTTTCGGGTACCAGTTGGCGGGAAACCAGGTGTACCCTAGAAAAGAAATCCGTGGTACCCCGAGGTACCTCGGGCCGTCTATCGCGTGCAAACGACCCCCTCCTGTGTGGAGTCCCCTTTGTGACCTCCGGAAAAGGCGCGCGTGCTCTCAGGGCGTCTCCTTACCACCCCGGCCTGATTCTGTTAGGGTGACAGAGGGCCTTACCTACCATCCCCAGGCCTGCGCTTATGGAGGACGGAAATCATTCTGCGCCTTAGCAGATAGATCTACACCATTGCGGACACTCCGTGGTACATTATTTTAATCATCTCGTAAGGTTTAGCTAGCGTTTGCAATGTTTTCCGTCGTGAAAAAAACATGTTTTTGACGACTTAACATTACAAATCTTTGAAATTCTCGGCTTTCCTCTACTTTAATATGCATGTACAGTATTACAATATTTATATCTACATATAAACCCGCCTCTTGAATCAATCTATTGGTGAAAACCGCATTCAAATCCGTTGCGTACCTAGTTCGAAACATCTAAGCGTACAAGATAAGAAAGCGACTTCATTTTATACTAGGTAAAGATAAATTGTGTGATTAAAATCTTGCTATTCTTAAAAATTATGTGCCAAGAGCCTGGCATGACCTAAGATGACCTTGGAAAAGCAGAGTGCCGTAGAGAGAGATACATTTTCTTTTTTAACGGCCATTCAGTTACTGTAAGTAATTTTTACAAATGTGGGATATTTTTAAGTTTAACTGCTACTTTATTTTGTTGATATTATTTCAGTAAAGGAACTACTACAGACAATATGAAATGCCATAACTTTGTTAAAAGGTTGTAGGTAGTTGAAGAAAAGCTGTCTGAGGAGCTCGCGGCTAAGTGGTAACCGGGTAGGTTAGTACATTGAAAAGTTAAGCAATTTTAGTCAGTTCAGTCTATGGATGGGTGACTATTCTAGATACATAAAGAACCCTCCGTATTTCGGAGATCACGTTAAGCCGTTGGTCCCATTTGCCTTGCGAACATCTGTTGCACATCGTTACAAAGGGATTTAATTCCTACAACAGTCTATCTACAGAACTTGACTCTAGTAATTGGTTTGCGGATGGCATTCCCTCCACGTGAAAAATCAAAGTTATGCCGTGTGGTAGTAGATTGAAAGCCGTCTCCAACCTATATAGTTTCGAAAAGGTCTTGGAAAGAAAAAGGTAAGGCCTTCGCGGGTTACCTTTCTCTGTCCCAACGCCTGTCAAAAGGCAATATCAAATATTTGTTACTGCGCTTATGGCCGTTGTACCACTTCTAATAATAGTAACGTGATGTTTTATATTATATTAATCTTTAATAGGTAAATACTCTATGTAACTAAAAACAGATCATTTAAATCTGACTGATAGTTTCAGAGAATTTTTAACACTGAGAAAGCGCCGAAAAAGAATACCTATACGTACGAGTATAATCAACATTCAAACATTGAGTTAAAACAACACTAGAGAAGCAAACCTCATTATCACACGTCGAAAAAAGTGTAACCACTTTTGAACTTTGACGACGTAGCTTTGATACCACTAAACATTTGAAAGTAAACATATTTATGTCTCATTTACACGCGAGACAAGAACAATACCATCGCTCGGATAAGACAAAGACAAAGATACAACTTTACGATTGTGGGCCAGTGTTGACTACCGTATGAAATTTTACCCATAACAACTAAGAAACAATTTTTTTTTAAAACAATATTGTAATAAAATAAATTAATTTAAATATTCTAAATAATATATTTCGAATTGAATAGAATAGGTATAAATAATAAAATAACTGGAAATATTTGGTTAAAAGGGTTTATATTCAGTGTAAAATCAAACTGCGCTGTGAAGCATCAGCTTTGTATACAATTGTCTTTTAGACTCTTATTTATAAGTTTGTGTGGATATTTTACTTTCATGATACAATCTTATTTTTACGTATGTAAAAATAATAGCATTTAATAATAAAAGTGAATGATCAACTTGTACTGATAATAAATAATCCCCAGGGTGTATTGCAAATTCTATTATAAATTAAAAAACAAATAAAAAAAAAAAAATTTTTTTTATTTATATTTTATAATTTTTTTATGTATGTTTACTTACTTTTTTATTTTATTTTTTATTTTTATGATAAACATTTTTTATTATTATTATTTTGTACAATTATTATTTAAAATTGATAATAAATTAAGAAAAACAATGAATTAATTCTTTTGTACAAAAGTCTCCAGCACTGCGAGCTTGGCACTTCTGCCAAGCTCGCAGTGAACGTTCAACGGGTCCCTAAAAAAAGTGATCGGTCCAGCCCTAATAACTACCGTTCTTCCTATATTTTATTATTATTGGCAAAATGTTTAAAAACAGTA